TCTGCGTACCGAGAAGACAACTGAAAAAGAAGAACGCGAACGACAAAGGGCTGAGGCAGCAAACAAGCGAAAGGGTAGAGCTGAGCGCCGGCGAGCTGATGGTACGAAAGCCACGACTCTCGCGAAGGCATCTGAAATTGACACAGATACAGATTCAGACCCTTCGGACGAGTTACCACTAGCAGCTCGTGCGGCAGTGAACAAGACGCCCGCTACAACGACACCGGTCGCAGCCGCCACCGCCGTGACCACTACAACGACTACCACTACTACTACTATGGCTACCCCTGCCGCTGCGGAAGAACCGGCAGAACAAGAAGAGCAACCACCAGCGGTACCCGAGCCCCCTCCTGCCTCACAGTCGACTCCGGAAGACCCTCCCGCTGCAGCTACTCCCACGGCCAAGATTGAGAAGAAGCGATCACATAAGAAGAAGGGTCGCAATCAATACACACGTGATGACAACGAGCCATCACCTGCAAGATCACAGTCAGGGGAGGCACCAGCTGAAGTACCGCCTCCTCCGAAGCCAAGTAAGGCCGAAGAGAAGGCTACTGGACACGGAAAACACGGGAAGAATAAGGGTGGGATGAACAGCAAGATCACCATGACTGACATGAAGAGGAGGGCCGCAGCACTCCTTGACTTCATTTCGCGAACCCAAGTTGAGCTTGCTGGCGAGTCACCATCGGATGACGACAAGACAAACGGCAACAGCGTCGCACCACAATTAGCAACTGACTGTGAAAAGCCAGGGTCGGCAACAGGCATGCTCGGGGTCAATTGCTCGACCCCAGCCGCTGTCATGACTTCAGAAGGGCAGCTAGGAAAGGATTTCAAGGACCTCAGCTGCGTGGAGATGATGGACAGCTTGACCCGGAGGTTGGTCAAGTGGCAGCAGGAGTATACAGTGTGATACAATGAGCGGATAATGGATGTTCAACTTGATGTGCATGTGGCATGGATTACGTCGGATAAAGGCTGATGATAACTTCCATGTTTTCGTTTTTGGGTTTCTTTTTCTTTTCCACTTTCCTTTGTCTTGGTGTTTTCTCGGGCAGAACGGTGCTATCATTAGGCAGGTTTTTGCGATGATTGGATGCTTTCAAGTTTATATCGAGAGTACTCGGGATAGCTGTATCCTCCCTTCCACCTACTGACGACGTGGGCGAATGGGTGGTGAGGCCAGCGATGCATTTTTTGGGGCGTTTTTCTTGGTTTAAATAGGATAATTGGTTCTGGTAGTATCTAGGACGGCGTGGGTATCATTGATAACGGAGTATAGAGTTTTCAAGAATTTCATTGCCTAGGTTTTTTGCCATGATGCTATTTCGTTCGCTTGTGGGTATCAACCATCATGCTCTATCGTTGTTATTTGGCCTTCGATGCTATGCTCGTACTATGCCCTGCCTGTTCATGCTCATGCTATACTATTAAATCATTATCGTGTCGAATTCATCGCCGTACATGTATCATCCGTCCAACTTTCAACTACACCCCCTTCAAACTTTTTTTCCTTCACTCGCGTAATACAGCAAAACAAACCCTTGAAACATTCACCACAAAATCATCCAAGATCACCTCTGCTTCTCCCTCACACCCTCACTGATGATCCCCGTCGACGTCATCGCCAGTCCCCTCTCCACATCGTCCTCACCCACATTTGCGCTCGCACTCACATTCTCATCGCCGCCACTCCTCTCTCCTTCCCCCCTCGCTGCTTTTTCCTCCTCACTATCCTCCGGCTTCCCCGGCCTACACGCCCACCCGTCCACAAACCTCAACGTCTCCCTGCCCCAAATCCTATTCATGATCCACAGCCTCACAGGGACCAAAATGATAATAATCACCGGAAACCCCGGCGCCGCGACCGTCAAGGTCACGCCGAAAATGATGCCCGTCAGCACGATTTGGGTGAGGGTATACCCGTGCACCGCCCATCGTGAGATTTGCGGGTTGGGCAAGGGCGGGAGTTCCGAGGGCGGGGAAAGCATTTCGAAGAAGCGAGGGAGGATGGGGTTGACGGAGAGCGATTGGTAGCCCATGTACATGAATAGACCGGCTAAGACGGAGGTGGGGGTGAAGCCGAGGAGGTGTTGGAAGGGGGGGCTGATGAAGACGAGGATCATGGCGGATTGGAGAAGGGGAGAGTAGCGCTGTTCGTGGACGCGGGGAACGAGTTTCTTCTTTCTGGGGGCGTCGTCGATGTTGGGGGATGATAAGGTTGTGGAAGAGGAGGAGGTTGAGGGTGAGGGTGAGGTTGTGGCTGTGGCTGTAGCTGACTGGGGAGGATTATTAGAGGTCGTCGTAAGGGGGGTGTCGGAGTCTTCATCATCATCGTCGTCAACTTCCACCCAATGCCGCAGAGACTCTGAATGCAAAGGCGCCTGCGGCAACAAGCCGTTCGCAGGCGGAATACCCAGGATTCCACAAAGCGCAGTGGTCGTGCCCAGCAGGACAATGTCCCAAGCGTACCCGCCCGGCTTCTTCACGCCGTAGCGCTCAACAGTGCAGATGATGCTGCTGATCTCGTGGTCAAAGTAGAACAGCACCGTGATGATGGCGCCGGGGATGATGGAGATGAACACCCACTCCAGTGGCACCTCCCAGAACCTCACGAAGAACGTGTCACGGGCCGGGCTGGTGGGTCGAAACGTCTTTTGGATGGAAAGGCGCTCGTGATCGAGATTCGCTAGCTCGCCCATGTACGGGACGCCGATAAAGAAGATGATGGAGATGGCAGCCGCGTACTCGGCTAGTCCCATGCGGATGATGCGCCCGAACAAGGGCTTCCATTCGAGTGCGGTAGACAGAAAGATGGCCATGAGGCAGGTGCCAAAGGCCCCAATGATGGAATAGAGGAAGGCGTCGAAGGGAACATTGTCGTGATTTCGTTTGAGCTCGAGACTGGCCTTGTGGAAGTAGATGACGGAATTAAGGAGGGAGAAGATATCGGCGCTGAAGTCGGTGACATATTGCATGGTGTAGTCGTGGGCGTTAAAGATGGCGAGAAGGTAGTGCATCCAGGCGGAGTGGATGAGGGACCAGGCCATGACCGGGAGGAAGGGGACCTTGATGATGTTAGTCGATGTTTTCTTGTCATGGTTGAACATAGGTAGGTCACTTACATGAAAGTTATTTGTACATAGCTTGTACATGTTCTCCGCCAGAACGGAAAAGGGACCAGTGACACCCAAGATAGTCAAGGGCTGTGCAGAGAAGAGGGAGAAGATGAGGCCGCAAAGGCCAGTGCTAAAGACAACTTCGATGGTGCCCCATGATTCTCCGGTGAGGACAAAGAGATCATTGGCAAAGGTGATGCCCGGGAGGATATTGGTGAAGAAAACATAGACGGCACTGGCGACAACCAGTTGGTTGAAGACTGTCCAATCCGAAACATATCTCTGGCGTAGGTTGTGTATGTCCTGCCTCAGCAACCTGAATGGTTGGAGCTTCCCTCCTTTCCTGAACCTGTTTGATACTGTGGCCAGCCATGGGGCTTTGGCCTCGGGCTTCTCCAGCATATCGTGTTCCTGTTCCTGGTCCAAACAGCAATAAGGCAGTTGACGTCGATCTCGGGAAAATCAAGTTGGTTGACGGCAGAGTGATTGGCTGTGGAGTTCAACTTATATAGCTATGTATATAAGCGGGGCTAAGGTCGGCGAAGGGAGGTTATTGGATATTGACACTGGAGAAGAAGCGACGCCGGACGAGAGATTGTTTGTTTCCCAAACACGGTCGTGGAAGCTTCGATCTTTTATCTCATCTTTCGGTCGTTGGCTGAGTATAGGTAGGAGCTATGAGAGACCTCACCGCGTCTTCAGGCTCGAACTCCCTGTGAGATAATGAATGCAGACAAAAAGAGATCTCGACCTAACAGAGCGGTGAGAAAGAAAATTCTGAGTATAGTGAAAATGTCTTATGGGAAAGAAGGGTATGGTTCAAGATTAGCATGGGGGGAACACTCCGGCCTAGATCTCTACAGACTACGCCGATCCCTTGAAGGTTACGAGGAGATTGGGCCAGAAGGGCCGAAAAGAACCCCTATCCATAGCCACTTCGAGGCGGGTAGTATCATGGTGGGTACGGGCAGTGTTGAGAATTGAAAACCTTCCTTTTTCCCGTATTCCAGTCTTTTACAGGGCATGCCCCAATCGCGCCTTTCTTCCAAGGAAGTTTCTTTGATGTTGTTCTTGGCGAGAGAATCGGGGCAACAACGTAAGCGAGCAGAGCGCGGACAAGTCGACTCCCGTCTTCGTCACAGCGCACGTGCCACCACTGTCTTTGATGCCCAACCTTGATTTGTTCCAAAAATCCACAAAAGAAACCTCAAGATCCAAGATGCCCCACTAAATCGCAGATCCGGACCATTGCCCGCTTCTCGTTTCTTACGCCGCAGAAGCAATTACGTCACTGGTCAACCCACCATCACATGTGTTCGGATGAGGAAGGCGGCGAGGGCGGTCACAACTCTCTTACCAGTAGTCCAGCGCCAGTCCATATCTGCAAACATAGCATTGATGTTGAATGCTTTGATTCACGAGATCAAGGACAGCTGATCCTAAAGGTTGCTTTGTACAGTAATAGTGTTGGGCAAAAGGTCAACAATCACAGTCGAAATGTCCCAAGTGGGAGGTACCTTTTGGCTCTTATGCACTTATCAGAGGACATTCTACCGATAAGCATTTATCCGTTATCAGAACTCAAATTCCAGACTTACCTAGTCCAGGATCGTGAACCTAAGTTCGAGCCATCCACAATCAACAATGAGACCCGTGGAGTCTTTACCACCAGAACACAGCCTTGGCACATTGCGAAGTATGCTATCGCCAACCACAAAGATATTTCTTCCACCATAAACGCATTCCCTGAAACGAGAGCAACGACAACGACGACGGTAATCCGAGCGAGACTTGCCCCCAGGCGCATTCGATCCGGTCCGGCATAGCCGAGGCGAGAACCGAACTCTTCGCAACACCAAAACACTCGAAAAATACTCAATGTCGGGCATAATAACTGGCAAAGTAGCAGCCGGCGCCACGGCCGCCGTCACCTCGGCAGTCGAGAATGTCGCAAGGACCGCAACCTCCCTCACAGCCGGCGGCGGCTTCGTACCGCGCGAAGTTTACGAATCCTCGACCCAAATCACCCGCTCCTACTACCTCGGCCACCACGCCTCCGCCCTCAACAAAATGCGCCAGACCATCTCGAACGTCGGCTTGATCATCGAATGCCGCGACTTCCGCGTACCCATCTGCTCGTGGAACCCGCTCCTCGAGCGCAGTCTCGCCGCCTCCGCTGCCGGCGAGCGCTCCCGCATCATCGTCTATACGAAGCACGACCTCGGCCCACCCTCGGGCAACTTCTCCAAAGAGACCTCCATCGAGGGCTACACCAACGGCCGCTACCAAAGCGGCAAGGACATGGTCAAGACCCTCAAAAAGTACCACAAGAACTCCTACACCACCAAAGACGTCATGTTCCTCGGCACCTCCGCCGGCGCCCGCAGTCGCAACGACGCACCCAACAACGACAAACACTTGCTCGAGTCCATCAAGCGCATCGCTCGCGAAGCCGACTCTCTGACGGGTATGCGCGCCATGGTGGTCGGCATGCCCAACAGCGGCAAATCCACCCTGCTCAACCGGCTGCGCGCCAAGGGCATGGGTCTGCCCAAAGCCGCGCAAACTGGCGCCACACCGGGCGTTACCCGCAAGATCGGCACCCCCGTGCGCATCATAGCTGGCGAGTCCGCCGACGACCCGAGCAGCGCCGGCTTAGGCGAGGGAGTCTTCATCATGGACACGCCGGGCGTGTTCATCCCGTACGTCTCGGACCCGGAGGACATGCTCCGTCTGGCGCTGGTAGGGTGCGTGAAAGACGGCGTGATTCCGTCCGTCACGGTGGCCGATTACCTGCTTTACCATTTGAATCTTGTCGACCCGAAGCTGTATACGCGCAAGTTCGACTTGGGCAAGCCGACCAACGACGTGCACGAGTTCCTGCGGGCGGTGGCGACACGCACGGGTAAACTGAGAAAGGGGTCGGAGCTGAACCTGGAAAACGCAGCCGACTGGGTGGTGCAGGCGTGGCGGCGAGGAGACCTGGGCCGGTTCGCGCTGGAGAGGGTCACAGAGGAGACGCTCGCGCAGGCGGTCGAGAAGGCGAGGGAGCCGACAGTGAGTATCAGCCAGGCGAGGAAGAGGGAGAAGGAGCAGAGAAAGGTCGCGCAGCAGCTGAAGTGGGCAGGCATAACGGCGCCGCCGGGTGGAAGTGTTGCGTAGGCACTCACCGATTTAGCATGATATGATGTGGATCTCGGTTGCAGTGGAAAGTATGCCTCAGCGAGGAAATGATGGAAGTTCAAGGAAAATTAGATTTCGCTCTGGACCATAAAAGGAAAAGGAAGAAGACAAAAGCATTTGATACCCGCGCTCGTCAGAATTACGAGGGCTTAGACAATACACCAATCTTAGCTAATAACTCCATCGCCAACATTTTTTCCTGATGCTGTGGACCCCCATCAGTCTTGAGTAAAATACAGCATGCCTGCGAGAAGATAAAAGGCTTCGAGGGGCAACATGACGCTATTTCATGTTGTCGCGTACCCTTTACATCAACACGAAAGCGAGAGAATCATGTCATCTTGTTATTTCTTCCTCGCCGAAATTTGAAAAAGAAAAGAAAATCGGTTAAAATGGCGAAAAAGAGATATGAATTCAAAACAGCATCAAAAAGGGGGGGGAAAAATAGTTTTTGATGATCATCGTGCGACGTGGGCCTGATTCGAACAGACGCTCCCGAAGGAACAAGATTTCTAGTCTTGCGCATTAGACCACTCTGCCACCACGCCAATTGTTGTAAAATGGGCTCATCCGCCGAATATATCAATGCAACCCTTTGACAACACTCATCGTCAGAACCATGCAGTCAATGAATCATTAGTTTGGTGTTCTTCATTAGGTCATCAAATCATCCACGCCACCATTTCCATCCCCATTTACTTCCAGTTCTTGCCAAAGAACTCCAAAACAGTCTTGTACCCCCTGACATACTCGCTCTTGACGCGCTCGTCCTTCAAGTCGCCGCGCGCCGCCATCCAGCCGTGGACCTGGTCCTTGAAGGTCTCGACGTGCTTGGGCACGCTAAGGTTCTGCTCAAACTCCTTGACCTTGTCCTCGGGCTCCTCCTTAGAGGCGAGCAGGATAAGGGGCACCTTGATGCCCTTGGCCTCCTCGGGGTCAACCATGGCCGGGTGGCACTCGGCGCCAATGGAGAAGGGGTTATTCTCGGACTTGGTGATTAGGGAGACGACCTTGCCGCCCCAGCAGTACTGTTGTAAACTTTAGTCAGACAGGTTCCCTTGTATACCTAGGGACAACCACACTTACACCAATGATACCCCAGGACTTAATGTTGGGATGCTTGGCGCTCAGGGTCTTGACAAAGGCAGGGAGCTTCTCGGCGACGCCGTGGGGAGGGTTCTTGCTGAAGAAAGCGCCCAGGTTCTTCTTCTTCTCGTCCGTGTCGGGAGGGTACCACTCAATGGGGCACGGCTCGCCCTTGAACCAGTCGGGCATGAACACCTTGTACTTGGTGTCGTCGCTCGTGGCCAGGATGTCGGCGCCTTGGATGGTCTGGTCGAAGTAGCCGAAGATGTCGTAAATGACAACGATGCCCTTAGTGGCATCGTCGGGGCCGGTGACATAGGTCTTTAGGCCATCGTACTCGGTGAAGGAACCCTTGGGGCTGTAGCCGGAGGTGACGACGGGAGGGATGTTACAGCTGGCGGTCTTGTGTCAATGGTGACTGCCCGTCAGGATGGGGTGAGAAGAGACGCATCACTTACCAGGCCTCGTTGTGGCCGTGGCAGGCTTGCATGGTGGACATTTTGGCTGTTTGCAGGGGGGCCGGACTGTTAACAAGGGTACTCGCAATGAGTTGAGCAGAGATGATGGGTCGTGAATATGCAATAGTCTGTAGAGCAGCACTGGCTGAAGAAGATTGGGATGTGCTATGTAGAAGACGGGAATAGGCGCTGGTTCGCGAAACAGAAGAGAGACTCGCAGAGGAAGCAGATGGCACTGAAGCCGTGAGACGGAACTGATTGGGACCAGGCATACCTGTTGTACCTTGATGAGGTATGAGGGACTGTGAGTTTATAGCATACACGTCCTGAAATTCAACTGGGTTTTTTTTTAAGTGTTTATGTTCAATGCTCGACAAGTAACCATCACCATCGCGCAACCGCCGCGCAACACGCAGGAGCATCGGTGGGCGGGGTAGCTTCCTCCTCCCAGTTCAGGTTCCTATGATGTCACCACCACGTCCAAACTGCTTCCCGAAACCCCACCTTCCCGCCCATCCTTGTTCTCGAGAGGAAGGAGCCCAGATGGCTTCAATGATCGGGACTTCAATTGCCGACCATGTACCTGACCAATCATGTGCCGCGATCGACTGGCGTCTCGGGGCCAAAAGTTTACATCGCATGGACGCCATCATTTCTCTTCTTTCATTCTCCATTTCTTTAGTTTCGACCAACTTCAACACCACATGATTGAACACCAGTCCGTCTCACCCTCAATCAACCAGACGGCCGCCTCACCACTCGCTCCGTCTTCATGCAGACCGGTCGCTTTTCCGAATCTGGAATTATCTACGGTCTCGTGTTTTCCCGCGAAGAGATTGAACATCCGTGACACATGACAGGCTTCATCTGCGTCTCGATCTGACCAGACAAGATCGACTGCGAGTGGAAATCCAGTACCTTGCGATGAAGATCTCCATGTCTGCAATGTCAAATTACATTCTTTATTGCTAAAGACAGCGCGTTCTAAATTAACACATACTCGAATCCCACCGGCCTTTTCCCGTTCTTTTGACAGTCTCTTTTGCCTTCACACCCTAAAACATCACCGTCACAATTTCCATGCGCCTTTCTGGGAGATCACGCAGTTTTCCCCCCGCATATATTCCATCACCCAAATGTCTGGAAGGCCCTTCACTCACCAAGGGAGGATGGCCTTCCTTCGACATTTCTCTCAGTCTCGTGCAATCTCTTTCCAACATCCACCACGTCAACAGACCTCAACTAGGCATTGTTGATGGTATATCCCGATTTCCTAACATCGGCTATCGCCTTCTTCACAACAGCAACTTCGCTCGCAAATCGGAGTTTCTGGTCCACCTCCGAGATAAGAACCCATGAAGCCTCGAGCTTTTCATATGTCTCCTGCGTCCCATGGTCTCGTGTGGCCGTCGAGTCAGCCGTTGCCACGAAGAAGAAGACGGCCTTGAGCGCTTTGGTGTCCGACTGCGGGTCTGGATAGAGGCAGGTACCGACAAACTCGGTGCTCAGGTGTCCTTCGGTGATCTGTGGGCTCTTTTGTGGTGGCCCATCAGCCCCTTCGTCGACGGTAGGCGGTGTTGCTCTCGTAGCAATGTTGAGCTCCAGAGGCGCCGCCCGCACTCCGGTCTCTTCGTATGTCTCGCGCAGAGCCGCGTTGAGCATGGGCTCGTCAATGTTCCTTCGACCCTTGGGCAGCTGAAAGATCGAAAGGTTCCGGTTCCAAATCAACAGCACCTTTCCACGGCCGAGGTCAAGCGTCACGGTGCCGCACGAGATCACAAAGGCGTTAGCTGGGTGGAATACCATGCTGGCATCAATGCCATCCAGCCATGGCTGAAGATCGATCGCCATTATGTTGTCAGTTCTGTTGTCGGTTCTTGGTTTAAAAGTTTTTGGAGGCCGGCGAGGTTCACTGCTGCGGGAGAAGTTCTCCTTGTGTGTGTTGTGGGAGCACCGAGGAGCTGCTCAAGGATGCCCCCATATATATGGTTGCCAGTGCAAGGAATGAACAAGCCGAGGATGATGCGTTCCAGTCTCGCCACAGCTTCGACAAGTCTGGTATATGGGCCACGCCACAAAGCAAACTCTCTGTTCTGAAAAGCAACTCTTTCGCTCTCTCCCAATACCACACTCAAGTTATATTAACAGTACCATTCATCTCTTTCGCCTGCAGACCGAGCGGCTCAGAAACACGCCATGGTTAGTACCCAGTACTCCGGACCATTTCATCCTGATATTCAAACGCCGGTGAGCGACAGTAGCAACCGGTCAATCTGCAGGACTGGTCCAAAGCATGGGTTCACGGACTGAAAAAGAAACAAGCGTCTACCGACACACCATCGTGATGGGTCCCATGGAAGCGGCCAGTTAACGCCTGCCCCCCAGTTCCCTATGCAATATATTATCCATGAACGCGAACCCCGAGCCTTGTGTCACGACCATGGTTCACAAACCTACGTACCGTATCGCCCTGTCGTGCTGCGAGTTCGACGGTCCGATACAGCTCCACGTGTTGTCCTCCTTCTAAGTCGTCAGTCTTACCACAGCTGTCGTCGAATCAACACCAAAGTTGGCCCCAAATCAAAGCGGCGTTATGTGATACCTGGGAGCAAAAGTTCATGATGTCTCGTTTGAGTAATCACAACGTCGACTGAATTCACTGCATTCTGGTGACGATGGTGGCTGATCATACCACCGTAGCACCATCAGATGCCCGATGCTGTACATTGCCCCAAAGCCATCATCTTTTCATGAGTGCCGGTACAAGTCGGCTTCTTGGTATAAACCCAGAGCCCTACTCCATTTGTGTTGTTAAAGATCTTCACCGCTGTTCTATGGTTTCTGTTTCTTTGTAGCTTTCAGCTGTTCGTTCCGGATTCCGTTTCCTTCCTGGAGTTTCTATGATGGAATTCAACCCTGTAGAGGGAGAAACTTTTTTTTTCACATTGGATACTTTTGGGGCAAGCAAGCAGTTCTGTGCCATCTTACTCTTCATTTTGCCCCGTAAAGCACTCGGTCACCGACATTTTACCTGATGCCTTCCCCTGCCTACACCGGCGCTCCCGTTCCTGTTCCTGCGTCGACAAGCTGATTTTCACCGGGGTTCTCTGCGATTGCCCGCCATGCAAACATTTTCTCGTAGGGGAAGGTTCAATCATATCCGTCTTGTCAGGGTAGCTCACCCGATCAACGGAAACGGTCCTCCTACGTACTCCTCAGAAACCGGGGTCCAACGGCTGGTTCGTATCCAATGAGCCGCCAACATACATTCGCTCCCATCCTTCCACGCTGTCCTATTCGAGTAGTCCTCGCATATTATATTCACTAAATCTCCTCGACCTCTCCTTTTGACCGGTTGAAAGTTGCTACGCTCTGCGATCCTACCGCTCCGGCCTTGTACTACCAACTTTTAACTATCATTCGCAGATTGCCCCCTGCGGAGGTCTTACAAGCTGTTCGTTTGCCAATGCTTACAAAGGGAATGGGCCCATGTTACCACAACAAATCGGGCATGAGTATACCCTGACAAATCCTTTGGCGGTCTTTAAGTTTCAGGCAGAGTAGAAACTCGAAGCGCATACACACTCACCTGCTATGTGGGATGACGCTTAAACATGCCGTGTCCTTAGATGCTACGCTACCCAACTATTACAAAAGGCATTGGGAAGTTAGTCTACATGAAGACGACCGAACAGGAACCTCGAGAGTACATTCAAAGTGATAGCCCGCTGTTCAATGCGAGGTATCATTGATCATCACAAGGGGGTAAGATATTGAGCACAATCGAAATCATTCTCCTGTCTCCTCTCGGAAAAAGGAGGTCCGGACTTTGGAAGTCATCGCAAATTTTGCGTGCCCAGAAACGTCTGTCTCATATATTTGTCGAGATCCCGTATCACGTCAACCGGAAAAGGTTCAAGAAGGGGGCTGATTTTGGTTTCGGACAGACTTCAGTCCCGGCAAGGAAAACCAACGGGTATTTGTATGCTTACATTACGAAATCCCTAGTCCGCGTAAGCATCTTTCAGGGAAAATGTAGTGGCAAAGAGACATTGCTGGTTTAGCAATACGACGACAGGGATGCTAAGCCTTGAGTGAACATGGGGAAAACGAGCGAAGAACGGCCTCAGCCGCCCGTCAAGTTGACAAACGCGGCTCATCCCACATAACCGCAAGCTGGGGAGGACACAAAGAGAGACTCACGAACGATATCTCTATCATTAGGAGAGCTAAGGAAGAAGCGCGATGAAGGAGCTTGGCAATATCAGGTCAGCCTCGATGTGCAACCAAGTGTCGACGATCCGAAATCGAGCTCAGTGCAAGCACCCATCTACCCAGGCCGATGTTGCATAATACCTTCGAGGCTACGTTGGTACTGAAGATTCAGTCGCTCGGTTCTGCGGATCATTGTGGAGGTCAGAAAGAAACTGATCGAATATGGAAACATAACCGGGACGTATAGCTGATACTGTGACTGTTCGACGGTGTTAGTTCTTACTCGCGGTTGAAGGGGAGGGGGCTGGGCTGCTTCACCAACAAAGGTTACGTGCATATGCCAGGGCCGCCATGATCGTACACGTGTATAAACGAAGCTCTTCCCCATGTGGTTGCTCCCCACAAGTTTTCGTGGGGGAAAGGTTCCCGAGTAAGGAACACTCGCTGACAAAGCTCGCTCTCCTTCGGCGGTTTAGTGACATGCGTTTACATATAGAATAGAGCGGACCAACCGGGTTCTACCACACAATTGTGCGGCTCATATATCACATTCTCGACCACCATCCCGTTCTCATCACGATGAAGGAGTGGTCAATAGAGGGTGGGGGTCATCCTTGTCTAAACGCAGGCACAAGGCACAAGACACTCACACAGACCAGGATGTGGAAAGACTAGTGCGAAGCAACGAAGGACAGGCAAGGGGCGGGAAGGCTGGACAAGGTAGATCGTCGTCATCATGATCATCAATGTCGAATGTCAATTATTACAATGGTACACGGAGAGCAAGGAACGAAAAGTCTGGGCCCGTCACAGCATCTCATGCAGCAGCTGTGTACACTAGCCTCATAATGCAGCTTGTAAAGGGGCATGTTGAGAGGTTCTTCCGTACAGTTTTTCTGAACAAGACAACGAACAAAGTGGAAGAAACCACACTATTCTCAGTGGAGAGGCTGATACTGAAAATGTCGAACACCTTTCTGTCTATAGAGGTACCCGATGTCATTACCAGTCTAATAATAATTTCAACAGACAAGCTAGTTGTTGGCCAAATGGGCATACTCCTTGTTGAAAGCCCTTCCAATGACCATCCTCCTAACTTCTGAGGTGCCCGCGCCAATCTCATACAACTTGGCATCCCTCATGATCCTCGACACCGGCATCTCCTCCATGTAGCCCATACCGCCCAAGATCTGAATAGCATCCAGAGCGACCTCGGTTGCCCTCTCTGCCGCATACAAAATGGCACCAGCGCAATCCTGCGTCTTGATAATTCCTTGCTCATCGACCGTCTTGGCCGTCGCATACGTGTATGCCCTCGATGCCTGCAATTTGGTATACATATCCGCCAACTTGCCCTGCAACAGCTGGAAATGGGCAATCGGGGTGCCGAACTGCTTCCTCGAGTGAGCATACGGCAAGGCAACATCCAGCGCCGCCTGCATCAAACCCAGCGGTCCCGCGCTCAGCACCAGCCTCTCCAGATCCAATCCCTCCATCAACACCCTCACGCCCCCATTGACCTTGCCCAGCACATTCTCCTCGGGCACATATACGTTCTCAAACACTAGCTCGCCGGTGTTCGACCCACGCATGCCCATCTTGTCCAGCTTCCTCAGGCACTCGAACCCCTCTGCCTTGACCCCGTCCTTCTTCGTCTCAACGATGAAAGCCGTGATTCCCTTGCTTCCAGCATCTGGCTCCGTCTTGGCATACACCACAATCACGTCCGCATCCGGGCCATTGGTGATCCACATTTTGCTTCCATTGAGCTTATACCCGCCCTCGACCTTCTTGGCCGTCGTCCGCATGCTGACCACATCGCTTCCACTTCCACTCTCGCTCATGGCCAACGCACCGACCTTTTCGCCGGAAATCAGTCCCGGCAGGTATTTCTCCTTTTGCTCGGCGTTGCCGTTCAGACTCAACTGGTTCACGCACAATTGGCTGTGCGCGGCATAGGACAAGGCAATCGAGCCCGAAGCGCGCGAGAGTTCCTCCATCACGATGCAGTGCGCTTGGTAACCCATCGACAGACCGCCGTAGGCTTCGTCGGCCGTGATGCCGAGGAGACCGGCGTCGCCGAGGGCCTGCCACATGTGAGGCGGGAAGGCATTGGATTTGTCGGTTTCGGCGGCGAGGGTCTCGGGAAGGGAACGCCGGACGAATTCTTGCACGCGCTCGCGGAGCTCGGTGAGGTCGGTAGGGGAGGGGGGAGTGAAGCCGGCGGGGTGTTTGTTGTGGGAGGCGTTGCGGCGTTGGGTTTGGATGTGGTTGAGGGTTAGTAGTGGTGAGACTGTGGTTGGTGATGGGCGGCGTGGTGTTGTGGTTGTGGTTGTTGTCGCCGTGTAAGTGCTGTGGAGTCGCGATTGACGGGGAATCCTTGAAATCCCCGTGGGGATTCTGGGGATGGATTTGGTGGTGGTGGAGCGCGCAAGGGCGCGGGAGAGGCCTTGGGTGGACATTTGTGTTCTGTCGGGTTTGTTTACTTGGTGAAGACCAAAAGTGATGGTTACTCTGGAAGTAGATAGATGAAGTTGAGAGAAAGGGGAAGAGAGCAAAAACAAAGCTACAGTTGTAATCAAGTCGGGATGAGCTCCGTTCATCCTTTCTCTTGTGCATCCCCTGGATCCCCCCCTCGCCATCCACTAACAATGGCCAGCCACGAATTACACCAACTAGCGTTAACTTTCTGTTCCAAACATCCCGCATCTAGCCAGAGCCGCGGCAGTTTTTGATGGTAAATGTTACCCTTGTGTTCTATTGAAATTGGACGGTTGGCGACGGCTTGCCTCGGGTTTTGGCGATCTTGTTAGTGATCCATGTTGTGATTGGCTACATGGAAGCCGGGCATTGAGTTTCACAAGCCCGTGAGGGGTACGTCAGACAGTGTGATGGATGCCAATGTCGAGGTCTGAGATGGTAGCCGCTCAAGTTAGACCGAGGACTTCGGCTGGGCGCGGCGGAGTTGGAAGGAAGTTGTCGTGGGCGTCTTTTCCCCTTCAGTTGGTTTTGTTGTTTTCCTCCCCCTTTCCGTCCTTCTTGTATGCTGTGTCGAGTTTGTAAGTCCAAGTTAAACACCATCATCACCATGTCTTTCTCCTCCGCCAGCAGGAGAGAGGTTCTCCTCTTCTCCAAGCAATTGTCCAGAACAGCCTCCACATCCCCACGATCCGCCAGTTTACCCCTGCATCCCCGCAATCTCGGGCTCCTCCTCCACAGCAACCAGCAACAACCACAACAATCACATCGTCAACAAAGCGTCCTCCAGCAACAACGACGCTCGGTCGCGACTTTCACGACTCCCCACCAAGCCAATGCCATATCCGTCCTCAAGTCCGATGTCGATACCGACTCCCCCGAGTTCAAGGAGAACGAGCGCCTTATGGGCGAGGCCATGGCCCGTCTAGAAGAGCTCACCCGCAAGGTTCACCAGGGCGGTCCCCAGAAGGCGCGCGAGAAGCACCTTTTGCGCAAGAAGATGCTCCCGCGTGATCGCATCACTGCATTGATTGACCCTGGCACAACGTTCCTAGAGCTTTCTCCTTTGGCTGGCCATGAACTCTACCCTGAGGCAGATGTGCCCGCCGGTGGCATCATTACGGGTGTGGGTGTGGTTGAGGGCGTTACGTGCGTTATCGTCGCCAATGATAGCACGGTCAAGGGTGGCACTTATTATCCCATTACGGTCAAGAAGCACTTGAGGGCACAGGAGGTTGCCAAGGAGAACAACCTTCCGTAAGTCTTGACCTTTCTTTTCACGACACATGTACATACGGTTCACTGACACGGATGACCAAACAGCTGCATCTACCTGGTCGATTCTGGTGGCGCCAACCTTCCCCATCAGTCTGATGTCTTCCCCGACCGCGAACACTTTGGTCGCATCTTCTTCAACCAAGCCCGCATGTCCTCTCAAGGTATCCCCCAGATCGCCGTGGTCATGGGTCCCTGCACCGCCGGCGGCGCCTACGTCCCCGCCATGTCCGATGAGAGCATCATTGTTCAAGAGCAGGGTCATATCTTCCTTGCCGGCCCACCGCTCGTCAAGGCCGCCACCGGCGAGGTTGTCAGCCCCGAAGAGCTTGGTGGCGGCGCCATGCACTCCTCCGTCTCCGGTGTGACCGATTACCTCGCCGTTGATGACGCGCATGCCATCGTGCTCGCCCGCCGCAGCATTGCCAACCTCAACTGGCCGCGCGGCTCCTCCACAGGTGCCGTCACCCCGGCCGACTTTGAGCAGAAATTTGAAGAACCGCTCTATAGCGCCGACGAGCTCTTGGGCATCGCCTCCACTAACCTGCGCAAGCCCCTACCCATCCACGAGGTCATTGCCCGCATCGTCGACGGCTCCGCTTTTGCCGAGTTCAAGCGCGACTACGGCACCACGCTCGTCACGGGCTTCGCCAAGATCTACGGCCACCGCGTTGGCATCGTGGCCAACAACGGCATCCTCTTCAGCTCTTCTGCTCTTAAAGGCGCACACTTCATCGAGCTTTGTGCCCAGCGCGGTATCCCGCTTGTCTTCCTCCAAAATATCTCGGGCTTCATGGTCGGTCGTGACGCCGAGCGCGAGGGTATCGCCAAGAACGGCGCCAAGCTAGTCACGGCCGTGGCGTGCGCGGACGTGCCCAAGTTCACAGTCGTCGTCGGCGGCAGTTACGGCGCGGGCAACTACGGTATGTGTGGACGGGCGTACTCACCCAGGTTCTTGTGGATGTGGCCAAACGCTAGGATTGGCGTCATGGGTAGTGAGCAGCTGGCGAAAGTGATGGAGACGGTGGGCACCAAGGCGGATCCTGAGTTGCAGGACAGGATTGAGAGGGAGAGTGATGCAGTGTTTTCGAGCGCCAGGCTTTGGGATGATGGTGTTATCCCGCCGCAGCATACGAGGAGGTACTTGGGACTTGGTTTGAGGGCGGCGTTGGGTGGAAGAAATGAGCAGGCGCCTAGGGGGACCAAGTTTGGTGTCTTTAGGATGTAGTTTAGCGTGTTACTCGAAGTTAATTAATTGCTTATCGTCATCGTTGTGTTCCGCCGAAAACTTAGCCTTTAACTGGGTATGACCATTGGGAATAGCTTCATTCTTTTTTGCCTGTTACGGGGAGAGCTCTACCACGGCGACCTGACTTACTCCACATCTCCGAGCTCCACCGAGCCACGGGTCCCACAACGGGTCCCCACTATGCCCCCATCCCGCTTCAGGCAGAAAGTGCGGGGAAATGGAGAACTGGACGAGAAAGTGGAGAGTTTTCGTGCGGGGTAAGTGGAGCAGTACCTGCCGTGCCTGCTTTGGTTCAGGCCGCTGAGGCCACATCCACAACTGACTTTGACGTCTTCCCTGAATCAGACTGAAAGAGAATGAAGAGACAAAGGAGAATGATGGAGCAAGGTATGAGCTCAGAGTGAAGATCCTTTGCGGTCAGCCGGTGTTCTGAAACATATGGATCCCGCCTTGAATATTATCCAGGAACACGGTACGGGTTAGTGCGCCTGAGTGCTTGATGTTTCTGGACGGAATGTCGAGAAGCTTTGGTTGAGGTGAGGTAGAGGTAAGTAGCAGCTGCGGTGCAGAATTTGAGGATATTTGCTTGTTGTGTTTGCGTTTGAGTGGTCTAGAGTTTCCAGGCTCATGTCGGAGACCCTGAGTTGGGAGATTCGACCATCGGGTTATCTGTGACCGATACAGATATGGAAAGGAATGATGGCTAAAACTGCCAGGTTGGTGATGCGCTATTTGCATTCTTCCGGCAAATAGAGGTTGACGATGGTGGGTCTAGGCCTGATCGTCGTCCAAATTTTTTAAAGCTTCGGTTGTACGAGAGTTCTAGACGTCCATGTTGTAACAGATGCTGCGAGGGGAGCTTGCATATGCATATCTTCCCTGAGCTGAGCAACGTGTGGTAGGTGTAGTGTACATAGCAGAAGTTGTCGAGGGTTGTATACACTAGGAAAAACTTATCCTTTCCCAGATAATAAAATAATTTTGATACAAGAAAACGAAAGTTATTCCAACGTCAAGATCATTTAATCCCTTGTTGTTTCTGTATATCAAGGTCAGTACTAACTCTAGCGACAGTAAGTTGGGATTGAAGCCACCTTGCCAACTTCTCTCCTTCGCTATTAATTTGAACTGTCACTTACACAATCTCGCAGCCCAACAGACATAATCTTCACAACGGCACGACAAACTTTTAGCTCTCGAGCTCCCTAAGAACAGCTCAACGGCGGAAAATACCCAACTAGACACACATAATCATCACCACCTTTCATAATGGCAACCCGCGCCGTTCCCCGCGCCCTCCGGGCCAGCAACATCTTCTCCACAGCAACCCGCCCAACCATCCCAATTCTTTCCTCAAGCCAAAGAGCCTTCCACATCAGCGCGACCCGCCTGCAAAAGAAGAAGAAGAACACCACCACCACCACCACTCCTACCCCTGGAGCGGGCGCCTTCGCCCGAACTGACGACTCGATCACCGTCGAATACCCCGAAGACTCCTCCCAGCTCCCCTCTTCGCAGCCAGTGGACAGCGGCATAGGAAGAGCGGGGCAGAATGTTTTCCCGACGCTTGCCACGTTTTCTCTCCAAGGAAAGGTGGGCGTGGTGACGGGCGGAGCGAGAGGGTTGGGGTTGGTGATGGGGCAAGGGATCGTGGTTAGTGGTGGGGATTTGGCTATTGTTGATTTGAACAGTGAGTTTTTTTTTTTTTTTTTTTGTTTCTTTTTTTCGGGGTTGGGAGGTGATTGATGTTGAAGGGGGGATTGGGATTTGCAAAGGGGTGTAATGAAGAAGAGAGGGGGTGGGAGTGAAGGTGAAATTGAAGTAGTGGTGAAGAATGAGAACACGGGAGACAACGGGGAGGATCAAGTGAAAACGAAGAGCAAACGCGAAAAGAAAATGGCAGCGCTGACAACCTCTTCACCCAAAAAAACAGAAGAAGAAGCAACCAAACAAGCCCAAAACATCGTCGAGACCTTCAAGAAGGACTATCCTTCCGCCAAGAAGTCCGTTACCTCTCCCCTTTACTCCCCTTTTCCTCTTCTCCTTAGTTCCTCCTTCCTTCCCACCTCTCTCACATTTGTTTGTCGGTTACCATCTCAACTAACATCCATCAGAATCCCCAAAGTAACAGCCCACTACGCCGACGTCTCCGACCCAGCCTCCGTCGACGCCTGCATCGCCGAGATCGTCGCCGAGCACGGCAAAATCGACAACCTCGTCACTTCTGCCGGCTTCACAGAGAACTTCGAAGCCGTCAATTACCCAGTGGACAGGATGCGCAAGCTCTGGGGCGTCAACGTGGACGGGACGTACTTGTTCGCTACGGCTATTGCCAGGCATCTGGTAAGTCGTCGCCGCCTCTGTTTAAATAGTTCTAGCTACAACCAAAGCTTGACAATTTCGTGTCCTGGAAGACAAGACTAACTAACCATTTCACTCAACTTAGATGGGCCGCAACTCCCCCGGCTCCCTCGTCTTCATAGGCTCCATGTCCGGCAGCATCGTCAACGTGCCCCAGCCGCAAACTCCTTACAACGCCTCCAAAGCGGCCGTCCGACACCTAGCCGCCTCTTTCGCGGTAGAATGGGCCAAGGCGGGAATCCGTGTCAACTGCATTTCCCCCGGCTACATGCTCACGGCTTTGACCAAAAAGATCCTGGACGAGAACCCGGACTTGAAGGAGAAGTGGACTTCGCTGATCCCGCAGGGCCAGATGGGTAACCCCGAGGATTTGATGGGTCCAGTCACATTCTTGTTGTCGGATGCTAGTCGGTATGTGACGGGGGCGGATTTGAGGGTTGATGGGGGGTATACTTGTACGTAAGTGGCATGGGGAGGAAAAGGGGATTCGGTCTTGCGACGAAAAGTAGTTGGATGCGGCTGGATGGCTGTATTGAGGATGGGAGGGAAACGGCGAAATAAATGGTAGAGGGTGTTGAATGTGAGCAGCTACAATCGAACAGCATTGTTTCGTGTATTTGAACTTTATGTGCTTAGTATTCATCTCTGGCCTCTATTTGCGCGCCATGTAGCTATTAACGGGAATATGTTCCAGCTGTTTGGATATGGTAAGACATAGTCCAACTATAGAGTTGTATTCTCGGGTGCTCTGATCCGTTGGTTGATATCCGCGTGTAGATGACTAGAGGTACTTTGCCATTTTGTTACCACCCTTAGGCATCAACCAAGTTGCGATATCTTTTTAAAACCACTGCTTTACCTGACCTTAGTTCTACTGTAGTTAAAAAGCACTTTACCCCTGCTTTAGACTCTACTATCATTAGAAAGCCCCATGTTTCTCATCGAGTCATCCGGAGATGATCTCCTCCCGATCTTCTCGTTTATCGATCGCTACGAGTTTCCTACTCTTGTCTTGCCTGTTTTCACCGAAGCCTCAACCCTTATTGGCCCTCACCTTGACCTTGTACGCTAATCTCTAGCTGCCGCGGAAAAAGAAAACGTGGAGATTTCTCCCCCTATTTACACTTCCCCTCTCATAGGTCTCAGTCATGACTTGTGACATCTATCTGGACCAGGAGCCAGTGACGATGGCCAAACCAAAACGAGACCACAGGCATAACATGATCTCGACACCAACGTTTCCAGCTTTCCAACTCCCCAAGAAAAGAAGGGAGGAAACAAACAGCGTAGCTGAGCCGCGCTCGGTTGGCGGTGTGATACGCAGAGGGGAAGGCAAGCAGCTGATCGGAGATCCATAGCTGAGCTCAAATTCCACAGCATGGCACAGGATGGAATTGATGTCGGGATGTAAAAGCCCAACGGACGCCTCTGATAGGGCTCCCAGACATGCGAGGGGAAGCCATCTTGCAAGTAGCGAGGGCTGGAAGACTGGCCGGTGGCAAAAGTCAGAACGTCTTCCTTTCTTCGAGGCGGGAATATGTAAATGTAAAGCAAGTGTCGTTATCGTGAACCCAGATGGCTGAGAAGGTTGGTATGGATGGCATGTCACATTGTCTCTCCATCCCCCGCTTTATCTCATACCATGTCTTGGCCTCTTGCGGCTCATGATGACTTACGGCACAACAACCGTTGTCGATAGGCAGAAAATCCGTCTCATAAAAGAGTTGTTGCGAAAGATTCCCGCGTGCTTGGCTGATCATATCATGCCGAAGTCAATCCTTTTCCTACCAATGGACTGGATCTATGTGTTGAGAATGAGGTGTGGTTGTGTTTTCTGACCCTTGGATCCGTGATCTGGGTCACACGACCCGTGAAGCGCCCGTGATTGGTGGCCGTCTCGACCCGTTATCCGTTGGGTGGAAGGAAGGGTAACGTCCCCGTCTCCGTCCCTCCCCGCAAACGGCAGATCAGTCACCAGAGAGTGCGGCTGCACTTATTTGAAGCACAACTTTTCACATATCCAAACAGCTTGTTTGTTGTCGTGAAGGGCTAGGCCGCTAGGTAGCCATACATGGTTTGTTGCACTTTGTGCTACGACTTGCAAGTCAGCTGGGCGAGACAAGACGGACAAGGATACGAGACGGCATGTCTTGGGCAACCCCGTTGGACAGTCCCGTGGAAGAGGGAAAGACGATATGACTGATAATGAAGCCGAGAAAGGAAGGCTGGTCGTTGTACACTAGGAGGCATGTGTTGGTATGTAGCTGGCTGTGGGCGGAAAATGAAAGTCTAGCCGCCAGGTACCGAACGTTTTCTAGACCGAATGTAACAGAAGGCCTTTTTGGTGTGGCAGGCTGTTACTGCTATAGGATGTGATGCTTCCTTCAGTGGTATGACATGGATGCCAGAGGGACGAGGGAGAGTGTGGGGGTTAGACTCACAACTTTCCCTTCAACCCCGTAGGCTAGTATAGGCAAATCAGTGATACAGGCTACCGCCGGTGGAAATGATCAGCCTGGTCTGTAACCCACGTGTCTTGTTCTGCCAAAGTTACCTCGATCTCGGGACCTTGAGAAGCCGGGTGATGGATGGTTACCATCAATCCGAAGGGAGGAAGACGTGGGGGACTGGAGGCGCGAGGGGGGAGTAGAGCTGAGCTACCTAGGCTGCAGTGGGCGACGACGATATCTTGATTTGTTTGTAATCCCATCAAGAGGACAACCAAAAAAGCTGAAGGGAAAAGGACCAATGCTTATGTCGGTATTTCTTCTCGGGTACACAGAAACCGAGGAAAAAAGAAAACTCGATGACAAAGTGCAAGAGTGAGAACCTGGATGGCCAGAGCCAGTTCGGGGTTACGTACCGGGCTGCTCAGGGAAGCTACTCTACCTACGGTTACAGCAGCTATAGCATGCCCCTGTCACAAGTCAGGGCAGTCGATCTGTCACCTGCCACCTCAATTGACTCCTAGGTATGCCATGTGTGGGATATCTTGTTGTTTGGGAAACATGGGATTCCATAGGTACCTACCCCGTGTCGCCTTGGGACTTACGAGCTTGGGGAAAATCAGAAATACTGTGATGAATGAACCTAATGCACGGCGAGATTTGAGGGTGAAAAAGAAGAGGAACAAGCAGGCCCGGATCTCATCTGCATCATTTCAACTGAAGTTGTCTAGAACCACTGGGTACCTACCAAGAGGTAGTGGAGCCCGGGCCTCAACACCCATTTCGGCATCCGCGATGACACTAACACTGTAATACTGTGTTTAGCAGGACTTCTGTTAGTACACTACTCAATGTTCCCTTGCGTGCCCAGCGGCCAGCGCACCAACAGGAAGCGCTCCTCCCCCCCTGTCTGCCAGATACTTCAACCTTGCACCTTCAGTCACCTCCAAGGTAGTTACCTTAGTAGGTACCCGGACGTAGCCGAGCATCAGTCCAGGCCCCAGAGATCCTGGAGCCCTAGCGCAGCAGACGTGCCTTCCCTGGACGAGACACATGATGCTGCTTCTTCCACTTTGTTCCTGAGGTAGGTACCTCTACCCATTCATAACCTAACCGCACCTGCTTCCCCTCGTTCCTTCGCTGGGCTGACTTTGTTGAACTTTTCACACTTCGTTCACTTCCAGGTTCTTTCAACCTGACTACAGTAGTACCTCTAGGTACACACACCTAAACACGGTATATTCCTCTTCCGCACCCGGAATATCTTGTACACGCCAACACACAACACCAGCTTGGAATGAGCACGCGGCGCCCTCGCAGCCTAACGACAGTACAGCTGGTGGTCGGGTTGATATGACCCGGATATGCCGTGGCCCGGAACTTCCTCGCTGTTTCTACTTCCACTTCTAGTACTCGGAGCATCTCAGCGGCCTCGCACCAGCGACGTTACCACGTTGGGTACCCATCTCTAACACCCCTCCTCTTCGAAACCGCGCCCAAGACTTGTGTCTCAGCTTCACCTTGAAAATCCCCCTGGGTAGCCTACGGTACTGTCCGGCATCTGCCCGCCTCACAGGCAGAGACAGACACACACTTGCGTTGGTACGTGATGTTCCGTCGCGTGCCACGGCCCCCCGTCACCGCACTACACTATTCCTGCAATCAAGTAAATACCCTACACTACCTACCCGGCTGAGCTCAGCTGGCAGCTCCCAGGCCCCCAAGCCTTCGGAGCATTGATGTTCTCAGTTGTGGTGCGGTGCTAGCCTCCACTTGTCTTGAGCTCAGCTCGATCGTCACCGCCAGGGCAGGGCAGCTACCTTGTCATGCTTGCCGCCAGTCACTGTTGCCAGTGCTGCGCATGTGGGTGCGGACATCGGGCACTTGGCCTGCAAAAAGTACGAGACTCCGAGAGCATAATAAAGCAGTGGTGCTGTGCTTGGACTCACAGTCCTTGCCCATGTCCGGGCATGTCCAGGTCTCAAAATATGAGATAACATCATGTCCCCCATCATTGTTATTGTCCCTGCTTCTTCTCAACTTCCACCACTTCTTCCTAACCTTATTCGGCTGGTCTCATGCTGCCCTGTTCGCGTTTAGCCGTCTGTTTGCTACCTTGCGCTTGCCTAACCATCTTACTCACGTCTCGTGCCCCAACTGGATCTGTTTGCATGTTTTCTGACTTCTTTCGTTCAGAAACTCCAAACCTCCCTGGACATCCTCCGTCACTGACCCCCCTCCTTCCCAAGCAGTCTTCAATGGATCTGCTGCGTTAGTGTCGATATCCACAAAAGAAGCCGGTAGCTTTGGCTTGTAAGCAATGGTCGTCGGGCTACCCTGAGGTGCCCGTCGTCCTTTGCGCCCGTCTTGTCCTTCAGCCATGGATTTGGTACTGCCGCAAGGCATCATTATTAACGCTACTGAGGTCTATACTCAACTGGCTAGTTTATCGGTCGTTTCCTCAGAGGTATTATGGCATTACTGGAACGGTGAGACTTGGACTCATACAAGCATTTACCCCCAAGAATCTGGCTAATGCGCATCTTCAGCATACACGGTGATCTCCAAGAAACTTGGTGGCGATCCCACTCACCTCCGCCTAGAGAACTTTTGGTGGCATGTTTGGGGCAGCAATAGGAGGAAGCTTTCCGGTCCCACTCTCGCCAGGCTCTATCAAGACATCTCAACCGGTCCAACAGATGTGCCTCTCGTGGTCCCAAAAAGAAGTCGTGAAATGCTAGAGGTCGGTTTTTCTCTTAACAAGTATTAGGGCCGAAAGATGCTAACCGAGCCTCAGAGATCCAAGGCCCTTCTGGAGCAGATTAACGCGAATGGACAGGATCCGGCATCCACACAACAACTGGAGGAGAATAGGGTAGAGGGCCGTGATGTTACGGTCACAATGAAAGCACCAACCCCATCTTCCTCAAGGCCACCTCCGCCACACCCGATCCTGAAAAAGCATAGCGCTCCCGTACCAGGACCTCGACATACTGCCAGATTCGCTTCACCACCACGTGCCGGAGAGGATGTGTCCATCACCAAGGGCGTGCCAGAGCCGTCAGCAATGCCGCCTCCGCCATTACCGACTGCGAGAAAGACAAAAACAACAGCAGAATCTCCAACTACAATGAGACCTCCGCCGCTTCCATCGCCAGCCAAGCCCGAAAAGCCCGCCGCGCAATTGCCTATTGCGCCTGCAGGTGGTAAAGCTAGCAAGCCTGTAGCCGCCCGAAAAAAGGTCGTGGCGAATACAAAATTAGCAAAAAGACGGCCGGTAATTCCACGTAGGACAAGTTCACAGTCATCAACTGCAACCAATACCCAACAGCGTAAGGTGCCGGTGACAGCAGACCAGTCACATCAAAGTACTCGGTCGCCAACTGTAGAGGAAGAGCCCTTCCAGGAGTCTCCTCCCTCGATTACAGTGGCGTCCCCAACTTCGACCTTGGTAGAATCACCGTTAGAGGTCCCGGTCCCAAAGGTAGCAGAGGTGCCGGCTTCAACGTCAGTAGATCATTCCTCTCGGAGCTCGCAAGGTGGCTCAGTATTGTCCCAAGACGAGCAGAGGGCGCCGAGTGCTAAGGCAGCCGGAAAGAGGCCGGCGAGGTCTACACGAAGACCTTCCTCTGGGGGCATTCTACCTGTAACTATCGGCTCCCAAGAGCGGCGACCATTGTTCGTTAGTTCTGGGTTCATGCCTGCCCGGTCTCCCAGCTTACCTCGTAGTGAGCGGAATATTCCGACGACACAGGAGGCTACGAGGAGGAATAGTGTGGAAAAGAAGCCACGTCGTGCGCCTGTTGCTGGGTTCGTGGCTGATCATGATAGTGGAAGTGACACGCCCTCACCAGCGAGAACACGCACCACACGTGTCACCGAAGAGTCTATAGTTGGTTCACCTCGGCCGCCGCTCAGAGTCCCGTTGTTTTCTCAAAGGATGTCAGGGGAGCTCCCCTATTCATCACCACACGCAATGTCTCACAGGCTTTCCGGCGAGATTCCGAATGTACAGGCCTTGACCGAGGAACCCACGACACAGGTGTCCGACACCACTGTTCAGGGGCAGTTTGACTCCGACGTGATAGCAACATCGTCTTTGGTTGAAGCCCGAGATATACCTGACTTTGTGTCGCGCCGGTCGAGGCCGTCGCCCTCGCTTCTCCACGAAGCATTCTCCCCAACACCTCCAAGCACCACTCCAACGATTCCCTTTGGCAGATCGAAGAGCCAACTCACGCTACTGTTGGCAAAGGATAATCACAGGAAGGTGAAGGAAACCCGTTAGTGGCGGATAAAGCAGGTTTTCGGACTGGTGTCGGATGGGGATGATCCATGGGGTGTGGCATCGCCGCTAGCGAGGCTCCCAGAGCCTTCACCCCAAGAATCATCAGGAGGATCACTCATAGAAGACAACCTCGTCCCAGAAGGGCTATTTGTGCCCCCGCAATATAGCAGGGCCACCGGTACCTTTCGAATCCTCTACCGAAGCCAGAAGACCTGGTTGCTCTGAGCATTTTAGCGTAAGTTCAGTTGCATTTTACAGGCGTTTCTTAATTTGGGTATGGAGAGCACACAGAGCAGAGCGTTGTCCCAGCATGGGCATTTCAGCGGCTACTAGGCCTACTCGTCATCTGCATATACGCATGAGTTTGGAGAAAGGCAGCATGTGGTTTACTTTGTTTGGTTATGTTTTGCGCTCATCCTTTTTTGAAGTGTATCAGTAGGTGATGTCGATTTAATGGGTGGGATGGGCTTAGGTATGGAAGTGAGTGCAAGATCGATGTACTGCCCTGGGGCTGGATAATGAACTTTTGAGCGTTTGTCGTTGAGAGAATATCACCGAATGAACAACATTCTGCATGTTCCTGTGGAGAACTATGTGCAAGTTACTCTGTTTTCGCCTCCATCTGATCCTCGTAAGTGATTCCGGGAAAGACGAATTTAGTAAAGGTGTAAAGAGAAAGAGCAGATATTATAGCGGGCAGACTATTATCTAACCATGCCATGTTCCTGCAAAAAGGGTACAACTGAAGTGAGCGAAGGTGGCAGCTCAGCAACTCAGTGATATATCGCGGTGACTGTACCATAGAAGCTGTAATAAGAGCGAACGGAACAAATCAACAGAAATAAAACTGGTAGAGAGAAAATACAAAAGAAAGTGAAGAAAAGGTGGTAAGAGAAATGAAGAGAGAAACGAAGGGAGAAATGACGAGAGAGCTATATTGAAAGATGGGAAGAAAGAGGTAAAGAGACAAGTGGAAAGGGTCAGAAGAGAGTCTGAATAGAGGTCGAAGAGTTATCCAAGGTCTATAATAGCGGTCTTTATAAAAACTAGAATATCCGTGTCCTACTTGTAATCACTACACGTCTATCTTACCATCCTAAGGGCATCCCGAGGGGTAAAATTGTTTCCCGTTATCGAGTTATAGTAATAACTGTTCATTCAAGAAGAAGAGGTAGTCGAAGAAAGAGATATTATATTCTCCAAGCAGGCTCTACGCGTTGCTTATAAACCCGTCCATTTCCATTACGCTCTAGAGGTAATCCAATCCATTGTCCCACTATTCAATTGACACAGGACAAGAAAAGAAACGCATGAAAGTCCAAGGAACAACAACAACAGCATAATCTTGGTAGCTTTTCATCGTTCAATCAGTCAACAATCAGTCACATTATCTATGCTTTATACTCTCGTATGAATCAAACCACCAAACCACCCGCTTTCCCGGTTCTCCAACAGAAGTCTACTTATTACCATTTTCTCATCCCCATCACCACCGCCCCCCCTCCCTAAAATCCACACACCCATCCCCACCCAATCTCACCCCATCCACCTTCGCTTCTTCATCCCCATCACTCCCCACCCCAGCCATCTAAGCCTTCTCCGCATGCCCATCGTTAAGCAACATCTCCAACACAATCTGTCCACCAGGCACCTCAGGATGACTCATACAGATCTTGACCGTCCCCTTAGTATCCTGCAGCACTCCCGCCTGCAACAAAGTATGCGGCTGCGCATGCTGCTGGCCACTGCCCGTGGGGCCTCTAAACCCATAGTCCAAACACCTTACATCGCGGCCGGCAATGATCTGCCGCAAGCGCCCATTCTCGGCGTTGCGGACTTCGACGTAATCCTCGTTGAACAAGAGGAGGTACTGGCCAAACATGGTGGCTGCTTTGGCCTTTTTCTGTTTGCCCGAGTACTCCATGATCAAAGTGCGCGAGATCTCGCCGTGCTTGTCGACGTAGACGGCGCAGTCCTCGTAGGTGAGGAGGAATTCCTGATCGTTGAGCTTGAACATGCCCAAGGGCCGCTGGTCCTTGATGCGGGAGGCGATGTTGGCGATGGCGGGGAGGTTGAGGTCGCGCGGGATGGACTGGGTTACTTTTTTGTCGAGGGTCAGCAGCTCGAAGCCCTTGGCGGAGGCCACGGCGATGTAGCTTTGGAACAAGTTGAGCGAGTAGCACTCGGCGGGTATGTAGAATTCGTCGTAGTCGCGGAAGGACTCGGTCGCGCCGGAGCCAAATTTGCGGCTGCCGAAGATGCGGGATTTCTTTTCGGTTGCCTTTTGGAAGACGGGCTCGAGGACCTTGAAGGTGTTGTGCATGCCTTCCTTGCGTTTGTAGAAGAGAAGGGTGCGGTCCTTCATGCGGGCAGTGGCAAAGAAGGTGACATCTTTGGCAAGACGCTGGGGAGCCCGTCTGGGGTTATCATGAACGGGGGACGGAAAGTTGGAGACGGGCGCGATCACGTCGAGGGGGTAGGAGATGAGTGACTTGTCGGAGATGAGAATGCAGACAGAGAAGTCCTCGAGGACTGCGATCTGGGTGACCTTGTTGATCTGGACAGAGCGTGTCCAGCCTCGGGGGTTGGATGCTTCCGAGATGTAGACGCCATAATCCGTGCCAATGGCGATGATGGACTTGCCGAACGATTTGAAAGCGGTAGCACAGTTTACCTGAGCTCTGCATACCGGCGGGGGACCGCGGCCTTTACCGTATACTTCCTCCATTCCTCGTATCGCCCTGTCTAACGGTGTCCCACTAATCGGCACGCCTGGCTGCCTGCCGAAGGATGAATAAGAATCGTACGCGAAAGCACCGTCAGAAAGAACTCGCAAGCGGAAAGGCTCGGCGTTCTGTGCATGTAGCGCTTCGGCGTGTCTTGTCTTCGCGTCCACAATCGCCTTACACCACTCCGAGCGGTCCAGGGCAGAGGAAGCGTAGAGCGTGTAAATCTCGTGGCCGAGGTGTTTTATCCTAAAGGGGTAGATGATCTTTCCATCGTCGACACCTGAACTTGTTAGACGGGTAACGGTAGTGAGGGATCCCATAGACGAACTTGTTGCTGAATGCTCCAGGCCGGGCCGATCGCCTCCATTAGAGGCAATCTTGTTAAGCTGTGTCCCGGATCCAGCGGTAGCCGCTGTACGGGTCAGAGGTGCTGCGAGACCCTTTTGTTTCGTAACAGGTTCGTCGTGCATGCTTTCCAGGAAGAGGAGTGGCATGGGTATAGGCTGTAGACAATTGTCAGCAGGGTACACGGTGGAATATCACACAAGGGCTTACCTCTTTCGACACGTCGTATTTCTTCTCATTCCTCCCGTCCTTGGTTGAGACCGCTTTGGCCAAGATAAAATAATGATCAAACAGCAGGGCCTGTGTATCAACCCAGCGTACTCCCTTGGAACCCTGTCGCTGAAGCTCGCCTTGCTTGAGAAGCTCTCTCCCAAGGTGATCAAGATTCAGGACTGATTGGAAACCGGGTCGAAGGACTAGCTGCTGTTGTAGCTCAAGCAAGGACACCTTCTTGGTCATCTCAGCAACTCTGTCATCGCACTCCTTTGTGACTGACCTGATCTCGTCGATTGCCTTGATAAGGTTCTGCTTCTCTTCACTGTCTTCAATCGTGTTCTTCAAAACCGTGCTGAGCAACAAAGAATATCTTTGCAGACGTGTAATGGGCGCCTTCACAAACGTGGTCCATCCCAAACGCTTGGACCGCCTATGGTTTTGTACGTGTCCCAGAAACTCACGGAAGAGAATATTCCTATTACTTTCCTTTCGGATGAGGTACTCCGAATTCGGATAAGACGAGCAGTATTCGATGTAGATGGGCCTGGCCTTGCGAATCCACTCTCTGAACAAGTCACTAAACCCAACAATGAAGGGCGCCTGTTCCTGTTGGCGATACTTCAGCTGGGCAAGCAAGTGGTCCTTGTTGATCTGCTGCACCGTATCGACTTTACCAAAGACTGCTTCCAGAAACTTGTCCCTCCTGCTGTTGGGAAGAACAGGGGGCTGGTGCACGCGGAGTTGATCTCTGTAGAGGAGCCGAACGACGTCGAGCTGGGCCATGTACTCCTCTTCACTGGTGACAATCTCGTGCAGGACATTTTGTCTCTCAATCTCCTTTTTGCTCTTCTTTTCGCAATCCTCCGGCTTGACTCCATGGAAGGTCGCCCAGTCCTGAACCACGGGATCATCAGAAAGCAGGTGATCCAGATTGGCCTTCTTCAGCGTTCTACCGCAGTGATGCGAGTAGCACCTTACTGGAATGCCGTTGTCGTTAAGTTTAGGGGCAGACTCTTCAGCCTCATGCAGCTTGGGCGCGTAGCAACCATGGCCAGTGAGTTGCCACAAGACACCTGTCATGTGGCCGGTTCCAAACCTGACCCATTCCTCATCTGGAATCAAGAGACCGGACGCAAACATCGAGTCCACGACTGTAGCACTCAAACTTTCCGCGTCAGCAACGTTCATGGTAGGAACCTTGTGACAGAAAAGCTTCACAATTCCCTCTTCGATGGATTTTCTTTTGAGGTCCACTTCGCCGTCTGCCATCTCACGAATCCAGGCAGTAACGCTACTGAGCGCCCACGGTTCGGCGCAACGCTTAATCTCCGTAGCCGTGAGCTTCGATGGAATGAACTTCCTCTTCCTGCCAGGCAAGGTAATCATATCATAGGCAGCAAGCGACGTTGGTGTCCCAGAGTCGTAGCCATCCTGAGACACACTATGGTGGCTCAGATGAGAATGATGCTGGTTAGCATGCTTCAATGCTCTCCTCCGCTCCTCAGCGGCATCGGTTCTGGATCGTGCCGGTGTATGGACAGGAGGGGTATTGCTGTGGCTGGAAAGTGATATCGATCTCTCCACTGCAGCTTGACCTTGTTGGTCATACGTAAGCCGCTGATTTACATCCAGATTGTAGCCCTGTTGAGAAGCGACCCTACTAGGGGGCACTACCGACAGTACTGGACGGCTTTCGCCAAGAGGAGGAACAGCCGGAAGAGGCCGATTAGATATCCCAGGATGATAGAACATATCGGGATACTCTTCCTTCGTAGGCGAGTCACTTCCGCTGTGCCTGGAGTGAATCGAGACATGCTCATCTCCCTCATCGAAGCTCAGCCGGTGTGTTTGCGGGGCCTGAAGGCCACCGGTTCCACCATAGTCAACCGCAGCTTGGGAGAACGGAGCATACTCGCTTCCCGTGTTTTGCGGATATGGCAACGGCCTGGGCCCTTGGTCAAAGTGGGCAGAAGTTGCTGGTGGGGAGCCAACTTCATTCCCGTAGTGCAGGTTTCCCGCATAGCCACCCCCATACAAGCCGAGATCCATTCCGCCAAAATCACTGTCCGTACCTTGTTCCTCAGGCGGCGGTGGTAACTCCCGTTGGTGTCCCGGCGGCTGTATCGGGTGTGTCGGCGAGGTCTGCTGCTGCGCTGCCGGAGGCTCCATATAAGTCGGGAACGATATCCCACCAAAGCCAAAACGTCGGTCGTCCATGTCCTCCTGCATGGCTAGAAGGCCAGCAGCACCTTCGGGGTCGCTCTCGTCGTCATCGTAGTCGTAAGTATTGGGATAAGTATCGGGGATATCATTTCTGTTCACTGTCGATGCATTAGAAGGATAGCGATGTACCGCTGCAGCGGATCCCACATTTGTCGAAGCAGTCGAACTGTAGCGGTGCAGTCCCTGGTCGTCCTCTGATATGTTGCCATTAACGCCACGGTACTGTCGTGGCTCCACCTCCGAGATGATATCACCGAACAAGGCGTCTTGGGTTTGCAGCTCATTACTTTGCCCGTTGGGCCCCCAGCTATGGTGCTCTGGCAAGTCATCCATGGGACGGCTAGGCAGCGGAGCATTTGTCGGGTGTCTTGTAAGCCCCCCGGGTGCTTGTGAATGCGGCGGAGGAGATGGCGCAGAGACCTGGGAATCTGATCTAGAGTTCCGACCGGAAAACGCGGCGTGATCCGCAGAAGCGTAACTAGGTCCGGCGGGCATCTGAACATGTGCAGTGGGATAGGGCGCCTGAGATGTCATGGTGTTATACGCCATGCCCGAGGCATTCACGGGATAGGAGCCGTAGTACTGCTGAGTGTTGTACGCATTCGCCGGGGGGTAGGATTGGTCATATTGCGGTGATGTGGCGGTGGCAGAGGACGGAGGATACTGTGGACTACGGGCAGGCTCATAGCTGGGTATGGATGGAGCGGTAGACGACTGGGGAGATTGCCCAAACCCAGACTGCGGGATGCCGGGAGAAGTATAGCCATACGTGTATCCATTGTATCCCGAGGAAGCCACTGAAGCGACTGAAGAATGTCTCTGCGGTGTCGCCGTATTTGTATTGGCGTACGCCGCCGGGTTATAAGCTGGCGGAGTGTAGGTTGTTGGGGTGGGCGCGTAGGTCGGGCTCGTCGGAGCGCCGTATCTCGAGGCCGGGGCGGGGTGGTACGGGAGAGAGGTCGATTGAGTGCGAGCAAAGGCCTGGGGGTTATATGTCGAGTGCGCCGGTGCGGGCGGCGGCGCGCTTGTTTGGGCCTGATACTGGTGTTGATAGCCCGCCATGGCGATGTGCTGTGATTTGTAGCTGAGGCGATTTTGGGCGGCCGGCGCATCCTGTGACGTGGGGCTGCCGAGGAAGAGCTCCTCCTCGGCCCTGCTGACAACGGGGACTCCACCAGTGTAAATGGCGGGCTGCTGGCGGGCAGCGCTCGGGTCGAACATGGCGGCATCGTCGCCCGTGTTGAAGCTCATGCGTCGCTGGGGAGGATACGGCGGGTTGCTGTTGTCCTGCGCGGCGCCGGCGACGGGGTATTGAGCAGGCGGCACATGGCCATAGCGGCGTGATTCGTCGCCGCGAAACGACATGGCGCTCGAGTGTCTGTCGTGTCGTGTCGTCGTTGTCGGTGTTGACTGTTGGGTGTATAGATAGACGACCACGATAGACGGCGCCGAGGTTCAGGCGAGAGCAGCTTCGTGCGATGGCTTCGTGGCGTCGAACTCTCGAGCAACCTACCACCAGACGCAAGGCCGTGACGGGTCGATAAGAGCGAAATCAAGTGTCGGAAACAACGGCGACGGGATTGCGGATTCAGGCAAGGTCGCTCGGTGGTGGTAAGGTCTGAATGGGATGCACGTGGGTAGGATAACAGCTTGTTGTCAGTCAGATGCAGTCTGGGGGTGGCATTTAGCGCGCGGCCAGTGGGGCCTCCGTTATGTCCTATCCGACGGGTATCTTTTTGTTGTATCGTAATCGTATGTACACGTCTTTACACCAATGATTACTTCATCCGCCGAGTTGGGTGAGATGGTTTTGATGTGATATTGGAAAACTACTGTATAGTTGCCCTTGAAATGTAGGATCCTGCAACTCGGGTGGCTGGCATGCGTGCCGGACGCAGACTGATGTAGAGGTATGCAATCACATTGAGTCGGACTCCGGCGTCTGACTCTTGTCGAACGAACGTCCAAGTCGGCGGCCTGTCACAAGGCGCAGGCGAGAAGTGATGTGTATGACTTGGTAGGGTAGAGTACGTACTAGGTATAGAGGTATCGGATGGGGGTCGATAACAGCCCAGGTAAACCACTGCCCGGGCCTGACGGCGCCGTCAATATGTAACGTCTGCTCGGGTAAGACCTGCCCGGGACTGTAAAGACCCCCAGTCCGGTCCTAGGTAGCTGTTCTCCTAGGTCAGTTCCTTCTAGGTCTATCACGGTTCCCTTGGCCATGTAATTTAGGGGCCTTGTACATTGCGCGCAACAACTGGGGTAGGTAGTTAGGTTCCAGGCTCCCACCGACGCCTCCCTCCCTTCAGAACGGCACACAAGGCTGGCGCTGTCTTCGGCCCTGTCACAGCGCGGGGACTGACTGCAACATGGTCAGGGTTGTCGCTTCAAACTTTTGGGTTTCTGTCTCTTCACTTCCCGTTCAGAGGAAGGTCACTCCCATAGTTTGAGTATCAAGCACTTAGGTATACAATGTTCCTCTGACTGGACCTGCCTACTGACAGTCGACTCACTTGGTTGTCAGGCAGCGCCTGTCATGAAGCAAACAGCAGGTGCTTTGCTGCACATGGTAGTCACGATGACTTCACTCTGGTATAAAGCCCAGGCCTGGTGGCCTGGTGGGATTCCATCTGGACTTCTCCATCTTCATCACTTGAATACAATCCAGATTACCAGCCATTGCATGTATTGCGATCTTGTCCTGACACAGGTTGTTGAAAAAGAAAACAGTCTAACAATCTCACTCCCACCCGTCGGACAAAAGTCAAGATGGCTGGCGACAACGGAAACAGCAACAACAACAAGGGTAGCTCCAAGGGTCAGTCCTCCAACGCCCAAGGAGACAACTCCTCTGGAGGAAAATCCTCTGCCAATCCCAAGTAAGTGAAACCCAACCTTCGCTTCTCTATGGGTCTGACCTAAACCCTCTTCCTATCTCTAGCGTCACCGAGTTCTCCAAAATCAACCCTGGCCAACCCATGTCTGACTACGAGTACCTCAAGCCCTGGGGCGGCAAGAAAGGGTTTATGCTTTCCTACGGGATCAAGCCTACCCCCGAGGGCTTCGAGGAGGCCAGAGATCTAATTGATCAGATGAGGGAGGAGTCAGGGTTTGGCAAGAGTCCTTACCGTGAATAGGAGGGTGAGAAAGCAGAGAATTGATCTGTTGTCGATTTCTGCTTTAAAGACGAATTGACGGAGGCCAGCTCAAGGATGGCGGCCTGCGCAGAACAAAAGTCCAAGCCACACTCAGTCCAGACTTGGGTCAGCCAAGCCCGTTGAATAAGTAACCTCCTAGCGGTGAGACGTCATGGTGTAACGGCAGTTAATAGAACATAGACGAATGGATGGAGGTTTCGAAACCGAACTGAAGTGCAACTAATTGTGCAAGGCATCCTCTCTTTTGGCTTGTAATTTGTGAGGTGCGCGAGAGGCAACCGACCTGCTTAGGTTAAGTCAGAGGTACCTGTCTAGAGCCTGTTTACTGTGACAGGAGAATGACATGATGCAAGTGATGAGGTCTGCGCGCCTCAGCAAGCAAGCCCACGCAAAACAACTGGCAGCTCTAAAGGAAGGGTTGTTGGTCTGTGCTCCCAAGCAGTTACGCTAGTGTATGTAAATTCAGCAAAGCTATGTATCTCTTATCGTATTATAACCTAGGCTCACTGTCGTCACACTCTAGCCCATCTGACACTCGCCATCCCATCTTCACAAGAGCATCTCAGATCTGTATTGTGGTTGAGACTGACCTAAGCGCAAGCACAGTACATCAAATACGACTCGTCACCTCGGAATATAAAGAGAATACTACAACTAATCTAAGCGATGATTCCTCAAACAGGGAAACGGGTAGCCAAGTGATCAGGTCGAAATGATGAAGCAGCGCGTGTACAGCCTTGGCTGCTGGGCGTTTGTTGAATTGGTTTACACACAGAGAAAGAGTAAAGTGGCCAATCAGCCTCGAGTTTGCTTAGATGTTCCCCTGGATCTGATTCAATTGCCAGGGACTCCTGTCAAACTCTCTGTTCTACTTTCTGCTATCCCCTGGTTGTTTATTGTTTAGCAGGGTCCCGTGCATCATCTCTTTTCTTGGGCTGCTCGAAGCCGATATCTTATAGTCCGGAGGAATCGGCTTTGAACTCATCAAGCAAAGTCTCTAGCAATAGGTATTCACTGTTGGCGCAGACCGCGGGCATTGGACGCCGTGGTGTCAGAAGGGGAATGCCTCAGCCTTCGGATTCCCTCTTTGCCGCGGCAATATCCAACAAAGGACTGTTTGGGATTCGGCATGGTCGGGTGCTTTCAGCCCTACGGCAGCCGCCGTGTTCACGGCCTAGGTCTGTCTTTTGTACATATGGGCAGCTCGGAATCTAGACTTTGAAGTCATCGAGTGAGTCTCCAACCGGCATCGAGGTTATCAAGATCTTATCAGATGGTCGGATCAACGGCATCAGGGCAAAATGGTGCGAACAGAAAGGAAGCCAGAGGAAACACCCCACTTCATGGAATTCTGAAACGGCCCCGCGATCAATGACACCAAAGTGCTGGCCGATGTCGTCGTACACACATATCGGTCGCTTTTTGCTAGCAAAGGTCATGTTCGGTTGTTGCTGCTGATGCTGTCGTTGACATTCGGTACCCCAAGATGCCGAGCAAATATGCTCCTCTCTGGCAATTCAGACCATCCAAGTTGGATCAAGCTCCCGTCTCGAGTTGAGGCACCAAAACAACATCATCTCCCATGTTTCCCCTTGTCCTGACAATGACAATGCCAAGACCCCTCATATGTAACGGCTTTCTTTCCAGTGTGGCCGGAACTGCTGCCGAATTTGTAAGCGCCACTCAATCATACTGCGAGAACGAGATGACGGCAATGCGGGGTTCTGGTTCGTTCATCCCCTGCCTGACGAACCCCACCTGGACGCCAACGATCCTCGGACGGACGTCGGACTTGTTGCTGTTCCCCCGTGGCTCCCCGCTTCTTCAGGTTCAAGTATAACGTAGCCGATTTTTCTCCCAAGATCTTCTCTGCTGCTTCTTCTGCTTCAGTAAACACACAACCTTCCAGATACCCAAACAAACTGCTTCTACCCAAGCACTTTTAAATCCGTCAAAATGGTCAAGGCTGGTAAGCACGATTCCGTCTACAATGCGTCACATTCATCCCACCGTCACGTTCTCGAGGTTGCCTTGCGGCTACCCATCCGCCATCAGACGATCCGAGTGGAGGGATCGGTTACCCACGCGTTGGTTTGAGCGAGTTTTCTGCTCATGGCCGGACACCTTGATGGGTACCTCAGTCGTCACCTCCCTCGACGATTGACGCAAGAGGAACTTGGAGAACCTCTTTGGCTACCGGGACCCTGCATTATTGGCTAGAAGACAGTACGGCTAACCTCTTTCATATTCGTCCAGTCGCTGTCATCCGTGGTGACTCTAACGTCAAGGGCACCGTGATCTTCGAGCAGGAGTCCGAGTCCGCTCCCACCACCATCACCTACGATATCTCTGGCAACGACCCCAACGCCAAGCGCGGCTTCCACATTCACACCTTCGGTGACAACACCAACGGCTGCACCTCTGCCGGCCCTCACTGTAAGTAAAGTGAGCCCAGGGAACGTGTAACGTGGAAGAGGGGCGGAAGTGATGATCATCAAAGCGCTAGACTGACCAATGTGCCCTTACCCACCCGCAGTCAACCCCCACGGCACCACCCACGGTGACCGCACCGCCGAGGTCCGCCACGTCGGTGATCTCGGCAACATTGAGACCGATGCCCAGGGCAACGCCAAGGGCACCGTGACTGACAACCTCGTCAAGCTCATCGGCCCCGAGAGCGTCATTGGCGTATGTTTTCCCACAGATCACAATTTACAATGTTTCCCCTTGCTAACTTTTCCAACAGCGCACCGTCGTCGTCCACGCCGGCACTGACGACCTTGGCAAGGGTGGCAACGAGGAGTCCCTCAAGACTGGTAACGCCGGTCCCCGTCCTGCCTGCGGCGTCATTGGTATCTCCCAGTAAACATCTCGACTGGTCGGATGATTTGCGTTGTTAGACTACTGTTTCAACGTGACCTGGGATAGTCTGTTGTCAAGCAGCGTGAATAAAACTGTAAAAGTGAAAAAACAAGCCAGCTAATTTTGGAAGTTACTGTGACTGTGATCCAACCCAGTGTTTGATATGCAGAGACCGATCGCTATACTGCCATTGGCACCAAAATATTCATACTGCTTGCCTGGTCACAATTGACAACTACCTATATAGCTTCAAAGTATCTTGGTCATATGAAAGCGAAAAACGTCGTCTGTCATCGTCGATGAATCCTGCATATGTAGCTCTTCCCCAAACCGTTCCTATTCTATGAAGCTTGATCCTTGCTTGAAGCTCTAGCTCGGCAGCTTGGGAAGCTGGGCTGTCACAGCACTCAGCTTATATGCTCCAATCGTTTGCGGGCGACGCAATCGGAAGTGGAAGCTTGCAGAAGAGAACAGCTGTGATCTTGGACATGGATGTTATAAATATTCGTACGAGAGCTTCGTTACGTCGAAAACATTTATGCTCACTAAACCTACAGGCCTAAGCATATATGAGCTGAAAACTACCCAAAACTCACCCACCTTTACACAGACACGCTCACCACTACGAAGTTACTTTTTCAACCCCAGAAGCATCCCAGCTTCTATAGTATGATCCTCCAATCTGGCAACTCCTCTTTGTCGTGAATATTCCTCTTATACTCATCTACAATCAAGTCATGCCCAAGAGTAATCACCAACACGTCCCACCTGGGTAGGTATACACTAGGAAGTCTCATCTCCAACTTGGTTTCGACGTCAGCCCCATTGTGCACGTCTTGGCCACGGGAACAGACCGTATAGAGTTCCTTGGCTTTGGCGAAGCTGGGAAATCGTCAAATTTGAATTTTCGCGAGGTCACGTTAAAGCTGAAGGCTTTGGTCTTTGACGCATGAGATAAGAAATGGTAGAAAGAGAGAGGCCAAATCTCAGTCATGGTCCTTCTTGCTGTGCTTGACGCGGACTTTGACAATCCGAGGTTCAATTTCTATATGCGAAACCGAACCTCCCGTGGGAGACGAAGCTCGCCGTGAAAGGCTTCACCTCAGTGATGACATGTCAGGTTGCAGATAACAAGAGCCGAGGTGGTGGTGGTGCAATGAGAGACGCCAAGATGTCTGAGGCTGTCGAAGGTACTTATATATACTTTAGCCCTCTGCTATCGAAGCGCTGAGTTGAAGTAGTGTTGAAGTACCGAGCGACAGCCCCTGAAACCAGTCCCCTGGCGGGGAGGCGCTTCCAGAACAGCTGTTGAGGGGCTTTACCCCACATTTCAGATGGGGCGAGGACAGATGAAATGGCGAAAGCTGTCCAGATTGGGCCAGCAAAGGGAAATCGTGACACACCGACAGCTGTCCTTCCGTCAGGTCGTTCCACTGGCCAGTGCAGTGGCCGCATCTCGAGAGCTTCCGTCCCATCCACCAACCGGTCAAAGTCTCAACTTTCGACTTGAACTTTCTCCTCTTTTGCCGTCTGCAGGATCTCTCCCTTCTACATATCACAACTCTACGCTTTACTGTAGTATATCACGATTCCAGAGCTCTCCTTCCCCTTGTTGAGCTCTTGTTGGTTTCTTTTTTTCTTTCTATATTTATTAGGTATGCAAGACAGCCTCCCCCACTGGTTCTTCCCCTCTCGTTCTCTGAGGTGTACCTTCTGGCCGGACCGCGGCATGATCCAAACACCAAGCCAAGGCTACATGGAAGAACATCGGCCTGAGAACTCGAAGACGACTCGGAGACCAATGCAATCTCAGTTGGCACCTCGGTTGCCAGATTATTAGTTATGATACCTTCCTAACACCTCCCTCTTCTAGTACAACATCCTAATACTTCCAACCATCCTCGACCATTTTACCTTACGAGCCCCGCCTTAAATATCATCTGTCGCCATGTCTAGTTTCTTCGCTCAAGTAAAATCGGTGCTGAGCGGCGACACTTTGATCCTCGCCAACCCCAAGAACCCAGCACTCGAGCGCCAATTCTCTCTCGCTTATGTCACTGCTCCCCGTCTGAGCAAAGATGGCGACGAGCCATACGCTTTCCAGTCCCGTGAGTTCCTCAGGGAACTGACTCTCGGCAAGCCCATTAAGTGCACTGTACTCTGTAAGCTTTTTGCTGTCCCCTCCTCTTGGCTCAGTTGCTCCTACACCAACAATTACTGACTTCGAACCCAAGACACCATCCCCAACTCCGGTAGGGAATATGGAATTGCGCAACTCCAGGATGGAACCGAGCTCCCCGAGGCTGCCGTCAAGGCTGGCTGGCTCAAGGTCAGGGAGGATGCCGGCAGGAAAGACGACTCCGAGGAGACTCTCGACAAAATCGACAAGCTTAGGGAACTCGAGACCCAGGCAAAGGACGAACAAAAGGGCCTTCACGCTGGCAAGGATGGCTTCATTGCGGTCCAGAACGACCTTGGTGGCCCCGATTTCCTCAACCAGTGGAAGGGCAAGACCGTGGACGCTGTCATTGAGAAGGTCATTAGCGGAGACCGTCTCCTTACCCGTCTTCTCCTTGGCGACAAGAAGCACTACCAGGTCATGACTCTCATTGCCGGTATCAGGACGCCATCGGCCGCCAGGACCAACCCCTCCACGGGCCAGACGCAGCCTGCCGAGGAATATGGCGAGGAGGCCAAGAGATTTGTCGAGACCCGCCTCCTTCAGCGCAAGTTGAAGGTCAAGATCGTCGGTGCCAGCCCTCAGGGCCAGCTCGTTGCTACCATCCTTCACCCCAACGGCAACATTGCCGAGTTCCTCTTGCAGGACGGCCTTGCCCGCTGCAACGACTTCCACTCTGTCTTCCTTGGACCTGATATGGCTGCTCTCCGCGCTGCCGAGAAGAAGGCCCAGTCCGCTCAGCTGCGCTTGCACAAGGGTCACGTTGCCAAGGCTACTGCTGGTGGTAAGGACCTCGACGTGACTGTCACCAAGATTGTCGGTGCCGATACCATCCTTGTCCGGAACAAGGCCGGCGAGGAGAAGAGGCTCAGCTTGAGCAGCATTCGTGGTCCCAGAGCCGGTGAGCCTTCCGAGGCTCCCTGGAGAGAGGAAGCCAAGGAGTTCCTGCGCAAAAAGATCATTGGCAAGCACGTTCGTGTCTCGATTGACGGTTCCAAGGCTGCCACCGATGATTTTGAGGCCCGTGATGTTGCCACTGTCACTCGTGACGGCAAGAACATTGGTCTGATGCTTGTCCAGGAGGGCTACGCTACCGTTATCAGGCACCGCAAGGATGACACTGATCGCGCTTCCAACTACGACGAGCTTCTCGCTGCCCAGGAGACGGCCAAGGAAGAGAAGAAGGGTATCTGGTCTGGCAAAAGCCCCAAGATCAAGCAGTACACTGACATGTCCGAGAGTGCACAAAAAGCCAAGCTTCAGCTTTCTACCCTCTCGAGGCAAAAGAAGGTTCCCGGTATCGTGGACTACTGCAAGTCCGGTTCTCGCTTCACTGTCTTGATCCCTCGCGAGGGTGTCAAGATTACCCTGGTTCTCGCCGGTATCCGTGCTCCCCGTGCTGGCCGCACCCCCAAGGAGGAGGGTGAGCCCTTCGGAAACGAGGCTCTTGAGTTGGCCAACCGACGCTGCAACCAGAGAGATTGCGAGATTGATGTTCACGACATTGACAAGGTTGGCGGCTTCATTGGTGACCTTTACATTGGCCGCGAGAGCTTTGCCAAGCTCCTTGTTGAGGAGGGTCTTGCTTCCGTGCATCAATACTCTGCCGAGAAGTCCGGCAATGCTGCCGAGCTCAACGCCGCTGAGAAGCGTGCCAAGGAGGCTCGTAAGGGTCTATGGAAGGACTGGGATCCTTCTCAGGACGCCGCTGAGGAGGAAGAGGCTGCTCAGGCTGCCCCCGAGGTTGAGCTCACCATCCGGGAGAAGCGCAACGACTACCGTGACATTGTCATCACCAACGTCGATGCCAATGGCAAGCTTAAGATCCAGGAGGTCGGCCAGGGCACTGCGGCCTTGACTACCCTCATGAACGAGTTCAAGAAGTACCACAGCAACCCTGCCAACAAGAAGTCCCTCCCTGACGCGCCCAAGACTGGTGAGCTTGTCGCAGCTCAGTTCAGCGCCGATGGCGAGTGGTACAGAGCCCGCGTCAGGTCGAACGACCGCTCCGCCAAGGTTGCCGAGGTTGTCTACATCGATTACGGTAACTCCGAGAAGCAGCCCTGGTCGAAGCTCCGTCCTCTTGACGCGCAGTTTGGCGTTCAGAAGCTCAAGGCCCAGGCCATTGATGCCTCCCTGTCCTTCGTCCAGCTTCCGTCCGCCACTCACTACCTTGACGAGGCCATCAACATTATCTACGAGCTGACTGAAGGCAGACAGCTCGTCGGCAGCTTTGACTACATTGACAACAAGGAGGGTCTCAGCTACATTACCATCTATGACCCCAAGGATGCCAAGGATCCTGATTCATCTCTCAACCGCGAGATCCTCTCGACCGGATACGCCATGGTTCCCATGAAGCTCAAGGCGTGGGAAAGGAGCCCCGTGTTCGAGAAGACGTTGAAGTCGTACAGGAAGGCTCAAGAACAGGCCAAGGATACGCGTCTTGGTATGTGGGAGTATGGCGATATCACTGAGGACTAGAATCTGTCGGTGCTTATACCGGAGAAGTGTGTTATGCCGGAGAGTTTTGTTGCTTTTCTCAAGCTATAAGGAGCAGGGCAAGGCGGGGGCGTGAGAGGCGTGCAAAAGATGATATCCTTAGGTGTTCATGATAATCAAAAGGGAGAAAAGAACTTGGGATAATTGATTCGGTTTCGAAATGCTCAACCGCCATCTTTTGTCATATCAACATGTCTAGTGTATTTGTGAACTGAAATGACGAGTGATATACGTGTATATGTGGTTTACAAGAAACTGCCGATCGCCGGAGCTAACAATAGGTAGGGACTATGGCGGTGTTGATCTGTGAAAGTCTCGCCGCAAAAATCGCCGGCCGGATAAAAAGGCAGTTGGATTGTCAGAAACGTGGCCGGGTAAATTGGTCAGCTCAAGCTCCATTTGCACCGAGCTGTGGAACCGCAAGTCTCCTGGGGGCTGGAAACATGACAGAATGTCGAAAGTGCCCAATAGTAAGGATCAAGAGATGCGTGTGATCCATATGGTTGTTGTTAGAGGTGGTTAATAGGTGTCACTTCTGCCAAACTGACAATCAACTCAAATACTAGGACTATCATTGACAACGAAGGCAAGCATCGGTATTGTTCCAAAAACGACATCGATGACTGTCACTGCACTGGTGACATAAAAGCAGTGGAGCCCCGTAAACACACCCCCGGCCGATCCGAATGGGGTCACTGCCGAGACTAGCGAAGACTGGGCGTGACGTTATGGCATCACTAACATTCACGCTGCGCCGCACTAACAAAACCCCAACCCCCGAAAGCACCCCCAAAAGTCCCAAACGACTAACCCCCACGCAGGGACGCAGCCCACGACGGTGCCTGAAGGACGGGTGACTGTTGTTTAGCTGCAATGCTGACTGATGTGTGGTCAGTGATGGTGTAAGAGATGGAATGGGATCCGAATTGGGATGAGGAAGCGGGATTGACGATGTGTTGGATGCTCCGGATGAAAGGTGTTGATCAGGAGGAAACGGTGAAAACGGTTTCGTTCTTTGGACCCTAGAACTGAGACCATAACCAGAACCCGGGAGGAAAGTTCGGCATTGACGGCCGAGGCGGAAGGCGGCCATCGAGGTCCCTGGTGCCTCTGCTTGGGTGCTCGGATTGAACAATGACTTGGACTCGCCACATGGCTTCTGTGAAACTGGCCGTGCTGGCCGGGCTGGCCAGAAATGGCAAATGGTCGGAGAAGTGCGGTTTGTGACGGGAAGAGGGGGAACAAGAACTGAGAAATGTCAAAGCAAAGAATCACATGAGTCTTCTCCAAGAAGGCGTGGAAGTGATAGATCAAGGGACTACCTTGATGAGACTAACTGCTTTGATGTCCGAGAGAGTTTCCGGACCTTGCAGAAGAAGCGCTGAAAGAAGGCCAAAATGTCGACGAAAAAGTCGAGGGAGGATCAGGGCTGGTATTTGAACACATCGAGACGGGACGAACAAGGAACTGGATTGACAGGAACTGTCCATGCTCAACTTGAGGCGGCGGCGATATGCAAACAGGATGCGTACCAGGATGGAAAGTTATGACGATGGTGATGAGATCCCCGCTATTTGGCCGTGAAGCGGATTCCCTAGGTGTCATATTAATAAACCAGGACAAGAACCAAAAAGACCCCTCGCTCCGTTGCAAGCACCATCCACCGCATTCCACTCACGTCCTACCTTAGCGAAGCGTGCCAAGACGTTGCCATTTTCCCCGTCATCCCCAACACCACTTGAAAGCGAACTCGCCCTTCAATAACTTCGCCGGATTCCCAAGTCCTTTCCACCTTTTCTTCTTCTCTACAACAAAACACCTACCGACTTTTTCTCTTTGATTGCTAGATACCCCTCAAAACACCAACAACAAACCACGCCTAATACTATTCACTCATACACACCACCCAAAATGTCTAACTCTCTCGAGCAGCTCAAGGCCACTGGCACTGTACGTTCCGTCATTCCTGTTTCCCCCTGTACCCCGCCAAACCCCTCATCCGATGATTCGGGGGCTTTTTGTGAAGCTTCCCAGACGAACCATCGCAATTTGATGGGATTTGGCCATGATGCGAGATGCTTCATTCTGTTCGCATTTGTTTTGCGGTATTCTGCGACAAAATTTGGTGAACGAGCTGCTAACCGCTGCATCTTTGCGCAATGTATAGGTTGTCGTCTGTGACTCAGGTAAGCTTCTTCCGCCATCTCCCCTCCGATGCAGGAGCAGAACATCATCACCATGTTTCCAATGATGCTAACGATTTCTTGCTTCCAACAGGCGACTTCGCTACCATGGCCAAGTACAAGCCCCAGGATGCCACCACCAACCCCTCCCTGATTCTCGCCGCTACCAAGAAGCCCGAGTACGGCGCTCTCCTCGACGCCGCCATCGCCGATGCCAAGAAGGGCCCCGGCTCCCCCGAGGAGAAGGTCGATGCCGCTCTCGACTACCTCCTTGTTCAGTTCGGCAAGAAGATTCTCGAGATCGTCCCCGGCAAGGTCTCCACTGAGGTCGATGCCGCTCTCTCCTTCGACACCAAGGCTTCCGTCGACAAGGCTCTCCACATCATCAAGGTGCGTGTTTCTGAATATGTTGCCTCCTGAGCTCCCTGATTTAGACTCGCAATGACTGACCTTGCCACCAACAGCTCTACGAGGCCGAGGGTATCTCCAAGGACCGCGTCCTGATCAAGATCGCCTCCACCTGGGAGGGTATCAAGGCTGCCGAGATCCTCCAGCGCGACCACGGCATCAACTGCAACCTCACCCTCATGTTCTCCCTTACCCAGGCCATCGCCGCCGCTGAGGCCGGTGCCTTCCTCATCTCCCCCTTCGTCGGCCGTATCCTCGACTGGTTCAAGGCTCACACCGGCAAGAACTACTCCAAGGAGGAGGACCCCGGTGTGGCTTCCGTCAAGACCATCTTCAACTACTACAAGAAGTTCGGCTACAAGACCATTGTCATGGGTGCCTCTTTCCGCAACATTGGCGAGATCACTGAGCTCGCTGGCTGCGACTACCTGACCATCTCCGTATGTCTTCATCTTCATCTCATGCTGCAATACTTTGCAGAAATATGTGCTAACAGAACATGAAAATAGCCCAACCTCCTCGAGGAGCTCCTCAACTCCGATGCTCCCGTCCCCCAGAAGCTCAACGCTGCCGACGCCGCCAGCCTCTCGATCGAGAAGAAGACCTACATCAACAGCGAGCCTACTTTCCGCTTCGACTTCAACGAGGACCAGATGGCCGTCGAGAAGCTCCGCGAGGGTATCTCCAAGTTCGCTGCTGATGCCGTCACCCTCAAGGACATCATCAAGCAGAAGCTTGCTGAGTAAGCGTGCGGTGGTAGTAATGGTTTAATTTAGAATGAAACAAAAATGGATGATGATGACTTTTTTTTTCTGGCAACTGTTTGCGTCCGCATTGAGGATTCATTATTACGTGTAGATATTATCGGTGACTGGGTCAAGTTGAAGATTAGATCTTTTGTAGTACTGTAGGTGACGTGTTATGCAAGTCATTGAGAGTCTGAAGAGGTCTGTTGACTTGAGGTGACCCGACAACGGTACATGTCATCCGAACTCGCATCAATTGGGATGAAAACATGGCGGTCGATGTCTGCCGTTGTTCATGAGTGAGTGGCATGTGAAAGTGTGGGTGATATGATTTGTCTCTATGATCATTGTCAGGAAGGATGCAAACCACCACCACCACCACACATGTCTTCCACTTCATTTTCATCATACAACATCCATTAGACCATACAACAAACGCATCATATCGCGGATCCAATCTAGCTTTATATACCCAAAAACAAGAGAAACATTATCTATTCTGAATCTACTAAACCCACCCCTTTATACAACAACAACAACAACAACAGTGTCCGTTTCATTCATCATCGTAATACCGTCTACTAATAATAATCGGCCTCGCCGGGTCCCACGGCCCGTAAATCTCGTTCTTGTACTTTTGCAACCCAATCAGCCACCAGCTGCACCCGCCCATGGCCACCGCGGCAATCAGGCAAGAAACAATCATGCCGAGGAGCGAGTGTTTGAGCCACGTTTGCCAGCACTCACACACCCCTCTTGTCCATCCTAAAGTCATTCCTCCGTCTACTACCTCTTCTGGTGATATTACCAACAACTCTCTTCCTGCTCCACCGGCGGCGGCGGCGGCGGCCATTGAAACGGAAGAAGAAGAAGTAGATCCGGAAGGGGGACAAGGCGCCCCGATAATAATGCCCACTCCGGCTCCTGCTCCCAGCAAGAGAAGGACAGTCAGGATGACGTGGTACCGAAATGAACGGTGGCGAGCGTACCGACGGAAGACGGGGAAGAGACCAAAGACTTCGATGGAGAACAAGGTTAAGGAGAAGACTTGTCCGGTGGACGGTAGGCGAGAGGCGAGCACGGTCGAGGCCATCAGGGCGGCGTTGGTGGAGAGAGAGGCGATGGGGAACTTGTGCTGCGCTGGGATGGGGGTGGTTGTGCCGCCTGTTGCGGTGGGGACGGCGGTGGGGGTGGAAGAAGAAGTACCGTGGACGGGCCTCGAGCTGGTGCTGGTGCCGGTGCCGGCGTTGGTGGCAGGCGTGGAAGTGCCGCTTGTGGGAGGGGAGGTTGAGGTCAAAGTTGGGATGAGGGGCGTTGCGGCTCCGGTTCCGGCTCCGGCTCTCAATGCGGCTCCGGCTGGCGCTGGGGTCGAGCCTCCGGTTACGATACCGCCGGTTTGGTTGGAATGAGGGTTGGTGATGGTTGCTTGTGTGAAGGGGTTGTTGTTGTTGATGGAGTAGTCGAAAAAGAAGATGTTGATGGCAAGCAGCCAGAAGGAGATAGCCCAGATGGAGTCGGAGGAGGTTGAGCGTGTCAACGACTTGAGGATTGGAGAGAGGCCCAAGAGGGTGAAGTAGATGAGGACGGCGGATTTGATGGTGGATAGACGGAGCTGGAGGCGGCTATTTCCAGGAAGAACGCCGCCGCCGCGAATGGGGGAGGAAATCGAGGACCGTTGCCGGTGGTGGCCGTAGTGGGCTTCGTGGAAGTCGGCGACCGATTGGGCCCGCGAGCCGGCAGGGGAGGCGGCGGCAGTAGAGGGCTCGATACTTGCGGAGCGCGAGTCGGTTGGACCGATGCTGAAGCGGGGGATGTGTAGATGTTGATCAAGACGCGGGGACGGCGCCGTTGAAGGCAGGGCAGACGCTGGTGTCGATGTCGCTGCTCCCGTCCCCGCTCCCGCTCCGGCTCCCGGAAGACTTACGATGCTCGCGTTCCGAGTCGGACCACCAAGAGAGTCCTGACGCCGTACGGGACGAGGGTCTCGCCCTCTATGTGAATGTGTAGTCCCATCCATTGCGCGTTGCGCTCCCAGACTCTCCTCCCCAACCCACCAATCCCATAGTAGCCAGCCGATGAAGGTCGCAAAGCTGCCGAAGCCTACCACAGACACGGGGCTGACACGCTCTTGGAAAATGCCGACGAAGCAGACAACGAAGATGATGACGGAGCATACTTGTTGGACAATGACGGTCGAGTCGGCAACAAGAGGCCAAAAGTCGTACGGCTTGACGCGCGGGTTGCGCTGGAGCTTCTCGAGAAAGGTGGCCTGGTCGGTGTAGTTGTCGGGATATGACTGCTTCACCCAAAGCAGCTTCTGAAAGCGCCTCTGCCTCCTCCTGCTCCTGCTCCTGCTGCCCTCTTTGCGCCTGATAAGTCTTGGACGTAGCTCGTTCGCGGAGCCATTGGGCGCGTTGGTGCCGCTGCCGCTGCCGCTGCCACTGCCACTGCCGTCTACATTGTAGAGACTGGTTCGGCGCGGCGGGGACACGGGGGAGTAGGCATCTTCGGGGGCCAGATGGGAGGGATCGGCGCGATGCGACTTGAAAGCGACGGGCGCGGTAGACGATCGGACGAGGGGCGGAAACGGGGTCTCGAAGTCGGAGGATAAGGCGGTTTGGTGGAGGCCCGAGGGAGGGGCCATGGATCAGAGAGGCTCTCCCTCCATGCAAAGGTGGGCTCGTCACAAGGTTTTGTCGAGATGTGATGGCGCGTCGAAATTGCAGTTGGCAGTTTGCGACCGACGGACGAAGGCGGATATGAGGTCAGGGTGGTGTGCTACAGCTGCTGGTGCCCCTGTGCTGGACTCATGGATGCGTGACGCGATGCTGCCGGATGTATGCCGGATGGATGACAGGTGATGGATGGCACACGAGGAGGTAGCAAAATAAGCTTTCTTGGTGTAACTAGCGCTGGGTGTTGGCGTCGGATGGAAATTGACAATCTAGAATGGAAGGGCCAGGGCAGGAGGCTGGGAATTGGTTCATCGAAGTGGAATGCGCATGATCAGGCACTCGAGGAACGAGACGGGATGGTTGAGGCTGACCTCGGTGTCTGTGCCTGGGAGACAGTGTTGTCCCATGTCTTCCACTTGGCAGTCAATTGCCCGGTAGAGGTACCTAGCCGAGGTAGCTTCTTCCAGCAATGAAGTGCACGAGCCATCCTTCATTCAAATAGGCGGCGGCAGGGCCAAATCGCCAAGCGGCAACTGAAACCGAAGAAGACAAGAATGACGGAATAGTTTCTTGTCTGAGGAAACTGAAATGCTTGGCTCTTCGTTTCGCCGTTGAATGTGTTTAACATCAACCCCTTGGTGTTTCGGGACTTGGCAAACAGAAAAC